AGAATGAACTGCCCCAATGCAGAGTATGTACAGTATATTACTGTAGATAAGCCGAATTTTGAGGACCAAAAAAGGCAGTCTGTAGAAGGGTGTCAGCTTATCTACAGGTTACATTTTCGTCCCAAAAAAATTTTCTGGTGGTAAGAAAACGACATATCGCTTTGTGAACAATAGGAGAAAACGACTTTATCAGTGAAGATGTCACATTTGCAATGAAACATCCAGGTAGCCCATTGGTCTTGTTAAGAAAAGGCTTCTTACATGTAGCCTAGTGGTTAAAACCTTTCTTCTCCCAAGAAGCCCAGGTTTGATTCCCCATATGGATCAAATGTGTGAAGCCCTTATCTGGTGTCCCCGCCTGATGGAATATTGCTAAAAGTGGCATAAAGTCATACACTCACTCTTGTTGGTCAATTCACTCTGTATAATCTCTGAACATCCTGTATTTTATGAGCGCTTCGTGTAGCTTAGGCTTCAAGGCAAATTTGTCCTGCTGGAAGTGTGTAACGAATCACGATCGCTGTGGAGAATTTGGCTGTGAGTTAAGAGAATGTCAGTGGACAATGCCATCACATGTAAAACTGCGTCAGTGAGAGTATTATATATATGGATTAGTGTCGGAACAGTTACACGGTATGAGCCGGGTTTCAGGTCAGGTTGATTATTTCAAAATGTCTTGGTATGATCAGAGACCATATAATAATAATCTATTATAGGGTCTCTGGTATGATGCCCACCTTAGGACATTTACTCCATTGGGTGTGCACACTTCATTTTCACGAGAGATGCAATGGTCAGTTAGTAAATTTTCAGGGCCCTCTGGATCCGCTTATAGCATACAAGAAGGTTCCGTGGTGAAACCCACGACAAACCACGAACTTAAACCCAGACCGGCCATTACTAAGGGACACAACTCAACACTGCAAATTCAAGTGAGTGACTTTAGTTTTACGCCGCCCTAAGCAATATTCCAGCTATATGACGGCGGTCTGTACATAATCGAGTCTGGACCAAACAATCCAGTGATTAACAGCATGGGCATCGATCTACGCAATTGGGATACGATGACATGTGTCAACCAAGTCGCCTCTTACGACAAGCATGGGTTACTGAAGATCAATTCTAACCCAGTATCATCTCGGGTCCACTGCAAATTCCAACAAGTCACATCATAACCTGGGAGCTGGTACTCCCGATCTGCCAACACCGAGTACATTCAGACACCATCTGCCGGCATGTGGTCACCCCTACATTAAATTATCAACTTCTTGAGGATAATAAAAGATAATTACAAACTAAAGTTCATTGCAAACAAGTGTAGAAAATGTATTAAATGTCTTCCCTTAATAAAACTGTTCCAAGATGTGTTGGGGGCGGCCGGGTAGCCTAGTGGTTAAAGCGTTCGCTGGTCACACCGAAGACCCAGGTTCGATTCTCCACATGGGTACAATGTGTGAAACCCATTCCTGGTGTCCCCTGCCGTGATATTGCTGGAATATTGCTAAGAGCGGAGTAAAACCATACTCACTCACTCACTCTAAATTGTGTTGAAATATTGCATGATCACGTACAGCTTGTGGTTATTAAACACACTGGAAATATTTTAGGCATATTATTGATATTTCCGGTGTGACGTCACGTTGATTCCCGATTTGACATTTTGACATTGAAATGACAGAAATATGTAGAAGGGAAACAGGAAACTCGAATTTGAATATCGTATCATTCGTATCGTGAATGAATAAGTCCTTGGACAAAGTCTCAGAGCTCAGGATAGATAATCCACATTTCCTCGTAGCTTGTTTATTCAATAAATGTTGCCGTTCGTGGTTACGTGAGCCCGGGGCAAATAATCCATAAACCCCCGTACTTCTCAGTGTATTATATAAATGTTGCTTTTCCTCGTTACGAAAACAATCATAATTGACAATGTAAACTAAAGTATACAAGTAAAATATACAAACTGCACCCCACGATCTTCCAGCCAATATGACTGATCTATTAACAGAATTCTGGAGATGTTTTTGTCTGAGCTATTTCAAGGACATCAAGGCACCTGTTGTTTCAACAGCGACTGTCAGTCTCTGTAACGTATACAGATGACACGTGGGGCCCAGTATCACATGGAGTCACAGTTTGTTGTACAAGGATCCGAGTATCGTGGACTCGAATCCAAGATTCGAATATGATACTTGTTTATTCTTTCTGTCACGGATGTTGTTATTGTTGGTGGTGTAGTTGTTTAACGCCGTACCCAGCAATATTCAATAAAGTCTGAAACATGAATACCAAGTAATTGACACATTGAACATCGATCTATGCAATTTGTAACCGACGACGTACAATCAACCATTTCACCAAACCTGACCACCCGATTCATATTAGGTCACCTGTCACAACAAAGCTGTTCTTCCCCTGGGTTCTGGCTTGTCTGCTCCTGCATGCATTCTGGTGTCCCCTGCCGTGATGTTGCTGGAATATTGCTAAAAGCGGAGTAAAACTAAATGCGCTCATTCTGCTACTACGTTTCCTTAGCGTTCGACATGTTGGACGAAACTTCGGGGTCAAGTTTTACGGGCGCCGACCCATACAAGCGGAGAGAGGAATCTGACTATACAAAACCCCCTATACTCGACTCACACACAATCTCTCGTACATCAAGTCACCGATTTCACCTCTCATTGTTCGACTGGGGACGTAGGACACGTCGTTTTCGCTTCCTCTGTAGGGATGAAGATTAATTTGCCACACTCACTGGGATGAAGATTAATTTGCCACACTCACTGAGCATTGTAGTATTTGCTTCCTGCCGACTGGCTGGTTCGCGCCATTTGTGCCATTGTTTTCACTGTTTGCAGACTTTACCTCGTTTCACAAACCATCCTTCACCGAGGCTAACCCAAACCATTACAATAGAATAATGATTACCTTTGTGTTGAGTTACACCGGTTTCACAAAGGAATCTCGATCTGAACTCCGTGCACCAACCGTCAGAATGAATTGTCTGCTGAAACCACTTTTTCAATGACCATTTAAGACACAATTTGTGATTACCGTTTGTAGAATTCGACTGACATTCTTCAAATGAAATCTATAACAGTAACAGATACGTAACCATTGTTAACTCCTACCACATTTTCACCTACTCTTATCGCATGCATACGTAACATGTCAGTTTATACAGAGACCATAAACCGATACATATGTATCGGTATATGGTCTCTGGTTTATAGTAGTAGTAGTAGTAGTAGTAGTATAGTAGTAGCAGAAGGAGGAGGAGTGCGACATGTACAACGTGAAACATAAGTGATCACGCGGGAGTTTGTAACTGAAAAAGAATAATACATATATATCTAATTAAGAGGTGGTACTAGCCCAGACTTAAGCTGGTTTTATAGTGCTAACTCACTGAGGTACCATGCCGCAGTGAAGCATGAATACCCCACTCAGACACATTATACTGATTCCGAGCCGACCAGTCCTTGTACCCATTAATGCCGAGCGCCAGGCAGGGACCAACAAGTACCATATTTAAACGTCTTTTGGTATGACGCGGTCGGGGATCGAACCCGCGACCTTCCGCTCTCTCACTACACCACGGAGGCGGTCTGTAATTAAGAGCTGTAATCAAAGGTAAATACATACAGCACAACAAACTCTGGATTCTGTCCACAGCTGATGCACAAGTTAGTGTAGTACACAAGAGTAGTTTCACTCGAATTACAAAATGTGCATCGAATCGCTGGAAAAATCGCAACACAAAAAGGAAATATGCCTTGACAGTTAATCTTTAGTGATTGGAGACTTTCATACAGTTTAGTCCTCACTCTGTAAAGGTGCAAACTCCACAGAAATCACAAGCAAAGTAAAAGTTAATTCTAAAAATAAGATCAATTTTGCGTTCATGTGACCGTCCTGTCGTACATGATTGTGTAAATTTATAATGTATAGCAAGTAATTCCGTGCCATCTGATTGGTTAACCATTTGTTTAGATGCCATGTATTGGCTGATAATAGATAGGCGGGGCTTGTGTTGTATACAACAATAGCGAATTAACGCCATATCAACAAGATACAAAACCATGTCATCCAATGTTCAAGACACCACAGTCCGTTTGCATGGCGTTATTCTAGCAAAGGTTGGACTGTGATAAACTTTCCATTGGTGTTCGGGAAACCAACCTTATTCTACATTTTATCTCCATTAACTATTAATATATGCACAGGGGCTTGTAACGCTAAAAACAACCATCAAGATATGTACTGTCACTAACGGGGTCTTAGCACTATTTAAAAGCCTTTTATATAGTGCTAGGACCCCGTTAGTGATAGTACATACCTTGATGGCAGTTTTTAGCGTTACAAGCCCCTGTGAATATATGCGCAAATCGGAATGACTGTTGATTTCTCCCTTGTTAATTAATGTTTGAAGTTGCAAAAAGCTTATTCACTTGTGATTAATGCATGGTTATCGAAATATTATACTCTACCTAGCGTGTCCACCAGACCCAAAGGAATATATTTTAAATGATTCCAACACAAGTCTAGAAACATTTGGCAAGTCTCGATTGCCTTAATCTGATAATGTTCGACGTTTTAATGTGATTTCAGTTTTCTTTCTATACATTTTAAATAAGATAACCCTATTCATATGACTAAATATTTGGACTTTATGCTGAATCTAGTATTAGATGTTGCAGGTCGCTAAGTATACTTCAGTACAACACCGTGGACCTACAGCTGTCAACACGTGGTACTTATGTTATAATTGAAACATGTAAAAAATGTTTCAATACATGATGATAATAATGATTTGGCGATTGTTAAAACGTTTGTTTTACACGGGTAGTGAATATTATTGACGTTTCAAGTTGGACTCGGATTCGCGCGGAGTGTTACCGTCTTTCGATCCAAGTAACAGCTGCACCTCTCAGAATACATATTGACCATTCAGTGGTGGCAGGTTGACTTCACCCAATAGAATTTCTGTAGTCGGTGGTAAAGTTATTGAATTATAGAAGCGTACAGGACACACTACGTGTGAAGTTGTCGTGGCAGACGACATGCAAAATTTCACTGGTCTTCTTGTGATTAAAAGGGTGTGATATTTATGATAAACCTGATCAGCTTGAAGATTTAATCACCCCTTTATCTGCACAATCTCCTACACCTACAAGCAGAAGATGGAATATAGCTGTTTATTCGTCGTGTGTGTTTTATATGCTTTTCTTACGTCGTCTGCTCTCGGGAAAAGATACGTAGGAGGTGATTACACGTTTGAACTGCCCGACAAGGAAAAGACGTGCTTCTCGGAAATATTCACAGACACTTCTAAGATACTGTTTGAATTTAAAGTGATTCGAGGCGGAAACAACGATGTGAATGTCAGAGTGGTTTCTCCCACTGGGAAAATAGTTTACAAACAAGAGAAAATGTCTGGGGACATTGTCACAATGGAACCAACATTGGGTGAATGGAAATATTGTTTCAACAATGAATTTTCGTCCATATCTCATAAGACAATATTCTTTAGTATCCGTCCATTCAATGTGGACTCCCTTTCAAAGGAAGCTGGCGAAAAACAGGTCCCTACAGTCAAAGTCGCTGCTGAAATGTCGATGGACGAAATTCATGTCATGATGTCCCACGTCAAAGAATTCCAAACAAGGTATCGTCTGCGCGAATCTATAGGTCGCCATATTGCTGAACAACTTAACGGGCGCGTCATGTGGTGGTCTTTAGCCCAAGCAGTTATTGTAATGCTAACAGGGTTTGGACAAGTTATGATCTTCAAGACATTTTTCACTGAACGTAGGAAGTCATCTAAACAAGGAGACGTCGAAAAATGAACAGAACTGGACAACGGGGTGAAGGTCGTTATTGAAACACCTGTGTTTAAACAGTGTAGAATACCGGTAGCACTGTAGTTAGGCCCATACCATTTAGCTATCACGTCATGCCATGTAATATGGTGCTTTCATGATGTAACTGGTTAACTGTTTGTATGTTTGTATGTGTAACGTTTGTGTAGAATACCGGTATTGTAGTTAAGCTCACCGGTATCACTGTAGTTAAGCTCATATCATTTAGCTTTCACCAACGTTTGTCATATGATGTAATGTGATGCCATCATGGTGAAATTGATTAATTCACAAGGTAAATCATTAACTGTTTGTTGTATTGTATGCTCAAAGTTTGTGTAGAATAAACTGTATGTGTGTATGATATCATGAGGCGAGGTGTTTGAAGTGTTTTATATGAGAGGTCATGAGTTGTTCAATGATGGTAACTGCTCCCCACCCTGTTGCCAAAATAATTTCGTTTTTTAAATGACGTGACATTTTCCACATGTGTCATCAGTAACAGCACACAGACATCTTTTGCAAGCATCGTATATTTCAGATTTGTTTCATGCTCAAAATGATGCTATGATAGCAAATATATCCTTCAAATATTGTGTTTACCAACAGTAGTATGGGCGTTAAGCGGCTGTCACACAGGGGTGGTAATGCTATTGGTATATCCAGTTGTGACGAACATTCACGTATGGTACTGTAACATCATACTTACATTTTGTTGTTACAGTGTTTCAACACCGTATTTTTGTTTATTCAAATTTCTTTTATGACGTCTGTGGATTCAACGTATTGTCCACAAACTTATTTAATCTCGACAAAGACAGCCTTAGAAATAAGCCTGAGAAATATTTAAGGTTTTTTGGGTATACATGAAATTTATAGATAATAATTCGTGAACTCATTAATTATTTAAGTCCTAAATTTAATTAGTAAACTGTGTTTTGTAGGCAAATATTCATGAGTAGTACAGAGACACCCATGGAACTGTGAAGGTGACAGCAATAATCTTATATTATATATGAAGCATTGAAAACTCACCAGCAAATCCTTTGAAAACAGCTGTTGAAAAAAGCAGGGGTGGTCAGTCAGTCTTGATTGGAAACGAAAATCTCCATACAATCGTTTTAATTGCCTTAAATGTATGAAAATGTGTTGTCAACAAGCAACGAGGTATGGTACACGTGTGTTACTATTTTTGGGAGGGATATCCCCTTCGCGTCACAGGTCACGTGATTCAAAATGGCCCCGCTCATATGTGAGCGATCGACTGAGATGTTTGATGGCTTGTAAATATATATTTTTGGATATTTTGATAACGAAAATAGGGCGCACGTGTAGGTATAAGTACAAAGAAGTAATTCATATAAGTTTTTCGTGCGCAAAAAATCGTAACGAGTGCGCGAAAGTGCGACAAAGGATTTCCACCATTGCGGCCTATGGAGGTGCTGCATAGCGTTCATGTCAGTGAACGCTATGTATCTTAGCTAAGTTATTTGTGGTGTCTCTTTTCACTTTCAAACGAGTAAATTCGGATCGGCTGAAAAGTAGGTTATTGTCTGAATTGGTCAATGAGACTCATGTTTCGGTTTGAAATGGGCTTCACACATTTGTACCCGTGTGGGTAATCGAACTCGGGTTTTCGGCGTGACGAGGGAACGCTTTAACCACTAGGTTACCCAACCACTCCAGTCCTGTTTGGAGGTGACAAAAGTGATTATACCGTTTATATTTTCTGTCAGTTGTATTCAACAACAATTTCTAGCACAACTGAACCATTGAATATGGACGCAGAAGTACATGTCAGTCATATGCTACTAGTCTGTGATCACTACCACTGGAATTTCACTTGTTCTCAGCATAATTTCAAAGTATCGGGCTTGTGAACTAGCGTGAATATCGGAAGCTACAATGACATATACGCAGGGGCAGGCCGGTCTTGGTGAGTTGCCGCTGTCACATATAAATTAGGCCGATCCTCTTAGTCCAGTGGTTAAAGCGACAAGCGTTTGCCCATGACACCGACGGCCCAGGTCCAATTTCTACAGATAACTTTTTGGGTCATTTGAGTTATGTGCTAGCTTGTGTTCATCTCAATTGGGTATCCTAATTTTCCTTTGAGTAACCAAATAAATTGTACTCATCTCACTCAACCTCAATTGGGTATTTTGCCATTTTCCATTACTTTTAAAGATAAAATAAAGTTTAAATGTTAGTGTTTGTTATCTATATTTGATCTGTAATATGAGAAACGATAAGAAAGACTGCAAGTTGCCAAGTTCATGTCCATTACTGGACGTCGGGGTACCTCGGGATACATAAATCGGGCAAACCACTATGGTATACATTAACAACGATCCCCGCATTGTGACCATCAGATCCTCAGTTCTTTTAGATATAAAAATGGCATACCGGGAGCTTGTTCTTTCCTTACATCCCAACACAGATAGAGTGGTATTTCTATGATCGTGACTTTGGACGATCGCATACTATTTGAGTAATTAAATCATACATACAGTGGAATATGATGTGCAGTTCTTTCGCAACTCTCATCCCTAACTGAAAGTTTTGAGTAGCTAAAAAACAATAGCTAATTGAAAACATATGTTTATTCAGCAACATAGACACATATAACATACAAATAAAATGGAAAGAATCAAAATATGTACAATCATTACAAAATGTGAAAAAGTTGCATTCCCAATGCCAAAACTGGCTCGTGTAAGTAGCAAGTACCAAAAGCATTTTACCACAGATAGATATCATGGTACATAACATCAGACCCAGTTTATGTTTTTAACAGTGTTTGGGCAATGCAGATGACAGACAGATCAGCGGTTGATAGAAAGCAGTTGCATGAATTATGACTAGATGGGCTGAGATCAAATGAACATGATGAGAAGCCTGAATTGTCAGCGGATAGAACAATAAATGACCAATATACCAACGACAGTTTTATAACTTTCAATATTCTATATATTATTCATCGAAAATCGAAAAGGTGATAAAATATATTAAATAGTAAAAATTATGAGCCGAAGCATAAGCGTCCATAAATAGAATGTTGAAGAGCTCGTTGCTATACAGAATCATATGTAATTTAAGGCACATGTTAAATAACAGTTGCGTACACCTGGTTATATAATCGATTGATTTTGTGATGGTATACATTCCAACAAATAAAAAACATCATGATTTTGTATGATCTAAGTTGGCTCATTTTCATCACTGACAATAAGTAATGAAGCACCCAGCAAGTTATGTATTAATATTTGAACAGGAAGGGAGGTGTGTGTGTGTGTGTGTGTGTGTGTGTGTGTGTGTGTGTGTGTGTGTGTGTGTGTGTGTGTGTGTGTGTGTGTGTGTGTGTGTGTGTGTGTGATCCATTTTGATACAAGTGTTCAAGATTCAACATGCAATATAGTTCTTATACTGTTTAATATTTATTACATGTATAAGTATACACTTTTAATCACTGACTTACTCCCGCAAGAACCAAAAGTCGTTGTTACATAATGCCACTGCTAACTGAACAGTTATTGAATTAGGGAACACTGTGGTTGTTACCGTTAAGGCAGATGCAATAATACTGATGAGGTGAACATCATGGCAAGAACAATATTCCAATTAAATCTAAAAATAATAATAAACAAAGAAACACATCCAAAATCAATTAAAACAAATCCCCATGGGCCATTTGCTGGGAGTTTTATAATACTGGTAGGGTTAGCTGTATAATACTGAACTGTGTGTAAAAGCAATAATGTCACAGCACGTTCACCCATGAATAAACATTATATCAACAAAACATATTTCAAAAGCTTTAATACCCACATACAACCGATCGCAACACATGAATGTCCTACCCATAAACCACGACCGTAGGGTAACAAGGTTTGGGATAAATGAACTTTTGATAGAGCTTGGTAGAATATCATTTCCTACACAAGATGTTGGTGTCTGTACAGCTCCACTTGGAGTCGTATGGAAGAATCGTTGCTCCAGTTGTGTTCAATGAAGCTTGAATAGTCTGTTGGTAAGGTGCATGTCATCAACATATCTGCAAGCGAAGAAACGGATTGTGAATTGAGTCTTCTGTAGATTGGCATCACTACTGTATGGGGAAGATAGCTACAATCATCACTGTTATTTCTAAGTATCGTCTAAGAAGAGTTAACGTTTCTGGCTCAACAGAATTATTTTCGGCAACTTGTGGCACGATAACGACACAAATTCACAAAGTTGTCTCAAACTACAAACATTTTCCCCGGGAGATTAAATGCTAAAATATTCATCCATATCGACAAAATAAGCCATTAAGATCAATAAAACACTCGTACCTTGTCATCGGACAGTTGACGATGGGGAATCGACTGACCGTCCTCTCGATGACAATGGGTGGGAGGCTTGTGCCGGATCCCCAATTTGGGGGACATGGTTTCTTGTTACTACCCCTGGATGGTAAGGTTTGTCTTAAGGTGGACCACTCCTCACATCTGGTTGATGGGTGAGACACGTAAATCATCTTTTCCTCTCTCCTGTCAAAACTTCTGAGAGGGGGTTCCCCGACGGGCACCCAGTGTTCTTCCGCCTTGGGGAGATTCGGAGGGGCCACAAATTTGTGTCTGGGGACGGGGGCAGTGACACGGAGATCCGTTGGTATATATCGTTTAGTTACCCAAACCGTATCTGGTCCTCGATTCAGCTCTTTTTCACGCTCTCCTTGTTCTTGTAGATATTTTTGATACGATAGACCAAACGCTCCCATGCTCAGTGCCGCCATCTTGACGCTTCCCGGTAGCTATGCTGTCTCTAAGGAGAACTCGCGAGATTTCATGTGCAGCGGGAGGTCATGAAGGAAAGCAAGCTAATCTCGGATTACCGAGTGATAAGCCACTATATACGCCTGGACGTGTAGTACTTATCACTCATAGCATCGCGAATAATATTGATCAAAATAAACAAACAAACGAATCACGATTTTCCTTCTGTGTGAAATTTGCCCAAATTTGACTTGAATGATAAAGTAATATAACTAAAGTGTTATGTAACTTTAAAACTAGTTTGACATGTATATTAATCATTAACGATTTCCAACGTGGTTGGAGGCAAGTGGTAACAGCTGAGACGTGCATCACTAGGGGTTTTCACGCAATATTGAACTGGCCCGTCGTGATATCATATGTATGAACTATTCAAACTGATGTTAGAACCAAATTATTCATTTGAACCCGTTATTAAAGGTTTGTTTGTGCCTGCAAACAGATCAGCTAAAAACTTAGTCTAATTTTGTTCACAGGTATAGCAGATTTATCTGATGTATTCATTTAAAAGTAGTTCAGTTTGATATTATTTGGTTCTTTTTATACACAATGAGTATGTGGACTTTAGTCTTTATCATACTAACAAACCGACTAGTATATAATATATTGCATGGGGATGCGCGCGCGCGCGTGTGTGTGTGTGTGTGCAGAAATTATCACATAGTTAGTTTGATCTATTTCAATAATCCGACAAACATGAACATTAATGATGATTGAATTTCGATACAACGCTAATATATTTTAGATAAGCAAATTTTATTGATCGATTTGATTTTCAATTTTGTGAATATGACATGTTGTTCTGCTTACGGTGTCCATTCCCAACGTTTCCGATTTCCTAATCGATTGTTTGGTTATGTTAATGTGTGGATAACACGACACTGTTTATATTGGGGTTTCTGACATCTGGCAAGCAAAATCGTATCCATGGCAACAATGGCGTCGTGTGCAATTAAATTTAATACGAACATGATATTTTACAGTCACAAATCTAGAAACACCATCACTGATAGACCTTTTTTGTTATAAGTTATTTGTTTTATCTTTTTACATAATGTGAGAGTTTTTATTATGTTGCTGTAACAAAATGGAAACCATGTTTTCTATTTTCTTACTGGTCGTGGGAAATAGATGCAGGGATGACTGGGGAAGAAGTTTTAAATGTTATGTAAAAGATAATAATCTTATATTGAAAATGTCCTCAATGTTTCACGAAATAGTTAAGTTGGAACACATTGGTTTGAAAGAGGAATACCGACCTTCCCTAAAATATCACAGACGAGTTACTGGTGAGTCTTACGTCCTACCTACAATAACTGCAATAAAGAGAGTGTGATATAGTGTTTATATATACCTAGCGCACATCATCATAATGTAAGTTTTATGAATACCGTACATGTTAAATCAGTAATTCATATATTTCATGGAGATTTCGATTTGGAATTGGTCCTCAGAACCTGTAGGCGACTTCGTGGATTGGGTGGTCAGTGTCGGTGTCAGTGTACCCCTAATGCAAGAACGGATGCTCACAATATCAATCACAGGATGGCTTGATCCAGACTTGACAGGTAACACGCCGCCGTCATATTGCTGGAATATTGCCTTTTCAACAACAAACAGGTAACACGTCGGAAGCACTTGAAGCGCTCGTAAAATCCGCTCTTTTGCACATGTGACAACATGCATAAAATCATGAAAAGCATATCTTTTGTAGGACATGCTTGCATAAGTGTACAGCTAAGTTTCTGTTACGTAGTATGGGATTATTACAGTTTCACAGGACTTTGGAGTTCTCTCTGCAATATATACACAGGTTATGACTTCACCTGGAGATCATTGACAGCGACAGTAGAAAATAACACAAATAAGGACACACATGTGCAGGATGGCGCATGCGAAATATCTGAAACACATGTGTAGATACTCTTAGTGTACCGTTGTTACGTAGTTCACCTGTAACTGACATGCATGAAAATTGTTCAAGGATGCATACATACAGGAACTAATGTTTTGGAAGGGTGTTTTTGTACAATTAATAATAATATACAAAATAGGATCTCTTGAACGCTAAACGTACGCTTCACTCCAAAAGGCGACTTACAAATTTACATAATGGTAAACAAATCAAATTACAGACATCGCTATCTTTTCACTAATAACTATAAAGTATGACATGTTAACCTTCATGACAAACCTAACATCCCTCTCATGCACTTTATCGTCGATGATTGTGTATTCAGTATTTGAAAGAGAGGATGAAGGTTTTAAGCAAACCACAGGATTTCGTAGCTCTACACATGCAAATACTAGTACATATACAGATTTTTCACAGAACAATGAATCTAAACAACATTCTAAGTAAACTTTGGCTCAGTATTATTCGTTACAATACTCTGTATAGCAGTGTAACGAATAATACTGAGCCTAAGTTTACTTAGACTACATTTTAGACTACATTTAGACTTACTGCGACAACTTCCACGAGTGGACCATATGATAAAAGGGGGCAACTCTATCTCCGATTAATATTCGCATAGGAATGAGATATTTGTGTCATATTAGAGAATTATTTTGTTAACTGCCTTTTCGAATCATTCCAAATTTTAGAAACTCCTGTTAGGGTGTGTTCACATAAATATCAAGTGAGTAAAGGCTATCTATAACTTGTGTTATACCCTCCCTGATGATATGTGTCAGGGCACTTTTTATTTCGATTGCATATCTGAAATTCCAAATCGTGTCACAAACTGTGTACACGAAAACATTTTAACGTTATATGTGCAATAGAAACGATCTGTCTATCTCTGACACAGAACGCAATTTATTGACGGTAGCTCTCGATATACACTTGTATATCAAAACCATGGTTATTCTCTCAAATTTGTGAACCATATATAAAAATATTCTTGTTTCTCATTACAGCCCGACCCTAAGATTTTATTTTTTAAATTTTACCCTAGAGAAAATGCAACTTTGACTCTCAAACTGTGCATGAATCTGTCACATTTCTAAGTTTTGATTTTCTAACGAAAAAGAGGTGTAAATTTCCACAGAAATCAAGGTGTGTTTTTTTGACATAAAATCAAATGAAATGTAAAAATAAAATCCACCCGCACGACCGATATTTTTTTTAAAAGTGTTGAGAAACAAGAATATTTTTTATGTGGCCTTAGCAATATTCTGGCGATATTGCAATGACGTTTTAATATCAGTCCCATTGACGTACACGCCATGACGCAAACGAAACTGTCGATCAAATGACAGAACTCACTTGAAAATTCATGCTTCGGTCTGCTAATTACTGTGTAGAGTGAAACCCAGAGACAGTGTGTGTTCCTAGAGACATCATTCATGTCATGTGCGCGTCACATGTCACCCTTTTTAAATTAGTGCATCTGGCATATGACACCCGTATTAAATGCGTCAACATGAAATAACCATTTCAACGATTCTGTGTTTCCTTTTCGGCCACCATCTAACATGGGTGGATACTCTATTTTGTTGTTGATGTCAAATGCAGTGTTAAAAATAATCGAAACCAAGTTAAGAAATACTTTACGATATTAATGATGATTATATCGTAACGCATATACTGCAGTTATTTCACTAGGGCTGGCGTCTATGACATGTACAGGCGTGTGTGCCAATTAAGGGATCCTACAAAGCAGGCAATTTGAAACGTGACTGTTATGCCTGTGTGAATGGGCACTTAACTCCACAACATCTTAACTATAATGGTCTCTATAAAAATTTGAATGGATTTATAAATGACGTTATCATTGCAACTCATAGAGATATGTTTTATTTTACGCTTCTGTGTTTCATTTCAATTAAAATCTGTGATATTTATTGTTAGATTGCATATTCACTCACTCATTAACATGCTCAAAAGTACATACTTATTTCTTTTTGCAAACGTTAGTAACCTCAGGGAAACAGTTATTTTTTATTTATAAGCATTGTGGTGTTTGTAAACAAAAGTAAATAAATAAATAACAGGCAGATAATACATTATAAACTTGAGTAAAGCTCTATTCGAATTTGCAGTCGCTAAGACACTTAAAAACTACAAAACACCGATCCTCTCTCGGAAGTTATATGAATTACTTGTATAACTATATTAAAAGAAAGGGAGTCTTTTGGGACATCAAGCAATAACAAGGAGGCCAAAATAAAAACCTGACCGTATATATCTATGTAGGTCATTGATTCCACTTTTCAGATGTATGTCATACGTGTTTAAACACACTTTATGTAACATGAAAAATCGCAGTAGAATACTCGTCACAGAAATATATGTATAAAAAAGAGAAACCAACCTATTCTATAAGATTCTTGAACCGTCCTTCAATTATTCTTTCATTAGACGCACCTCCTTTTATATAAATAGAAATATTGATTCTTGGTGGAAATGAAATATTAAATATTACGTAAGTCCAAAAGAATAGTTCATCAATTGGTTAAAAAAGACGACAGACACGCGCGACTGATCGTGGGAACCCATTCATGCACGGTCATGGTGACCTCTTACCCGGAAATGACAGACCAGCCTCGTTCTGATGTGAAAACTAACCAGCTGGTGTGATTGTCATTCCTTCACTACATTCTGTCTTTTTCTCAGACGAAATATTCGTCTCCACGTAAATTTCGTCTTCCGCAGATGGAAGATTCCAATAGCAGCGAACCTCCACGCTGTCCTTGTGGATTTTGGGGGTAAGATTTGAGGTTTTAGAGAAAAATCTACCCGGTCTAAACATGACGAGCCTAGCGACCCCGGGTCGATATGGACCTGCCCATTCTAAGATGGAGACTAGCTTTGTGTGATGTCGTGTATTTATTGGCGTTACTAGAGTATATTTCTGACGATTTGCGACCCTTCGTTGAGTTGTGGTTTACAATCATTGTATTACTATCACATTTTCCATATTAAGGTAAGGATATCTGATCCACAAACTCCATTTTCGACCGAACCAAAATGCCTGTTCTCGCATGTTTTGACCGGAGGTGGGGACTTTCAGAGTGTCAGCCTAACGCAGCGAAGCGTAACGTCTTTGAGGAGAAACAGTTTGTTTACTTTCTTCTTTGCGACTTTAATGCGTGAACCAATATCATGATTAGTTGTTTGCTTTCCCTTTCCAGTGTTGCATTTGACATGTTTCGTTGGGTTTTTTTAAACGAAGCTCAGTTGGTGTTTATTGATGATATCAAGCATAATGAATTTTAACTGTCAAAATGTTCTTTTAATGATTACATGACCATCTATTCTTGTATGCCAGACCTTGTGTTCACCGAGTAGTGTTATTAATATCTGTCTCGAGTTGATTTATGAACTTATTCAACCGCACAAGACTCTGAGACTGTTGCTAAGAAGTACTCCAATGTGATATTTGATCAAAGACCCAGATTTGTCATTTCTGTGTAATTTTCCAGTAATCTTTGAAGCAAAATGAATGTTTTTAGTCTTCTCTTTGCTTTAATCGTAGTATTTAGGCCTCATTCTGTTGTCGTCGATACTTTCAATATATGCAGGCTTGAAATTTTGTAGCAGAGAAAATAGCCAGTAAAGATAAAATATTCCTGGCTCCAGAGAACCCGCAGACATTTATTTCAAACATTGCCTGAAGGTGAAATATACTGCAAAGTATCAGAGCCCATTTCCAGTCTAGGTCTAGACATTTTAATGAGTGACTTGAGTCAAACTGAGCCAGTCTCTCTGTGTAATTGGGACCCAGGTGGCCTAGTCATCAATTTGCTGTGCAGAGTTGCATGCTAGAAACCTATTATCGTGGGTTTGAAGCTCAAAAGTGCCCAGCTTATGTTTATAGGTTTGTCACCACCATACTGTTTCCCATGGTTATCATCAAGTGGTAAATATTGAACAGCCAGCAGTATGTCATAGGCATTCCTTTCATATCCAACTGATATAAGTTGTATAACTGAAATACTGTTTCTCACAGCATTATACCACACTCACTCACTGAATGTATGTTTGATAGATTCATATCCAGAACTTATTTTGTATTTGCACATAAGATTAGTGAATATATGAGTGTTAAGATTGACTTCAATCAAATTTGCTAAGATAGCCAAGAGACCTGAGCCTGTTACTTCTCTAACAACATGTTATTTTTTGCATTGTTCTCTTAGGTGAGGTGAAATGGGGTTTAACGTTGTACTTAGGAATATTTCGCTCATATGACGACATGCATGCGTGTGTATGTGTATATGCGGCTGCTTGTGCTAGATCAGACTTAAGCTGATTTTATAGTGCTAGCTCACTGGAGATGCCATGCCGCAGTGAAGCATGAATACCCGACTCGGACACATTATACTGACTCCGAGCCAACCAGTCCTTGTTGTACCCATTAATGCCGAGCGCCAGGCAGGGACCAACAAGTACCATATTTTAACGTCTTTTGGTATGGTGGGGCCGGGGATCGAAACCCGCGATCTTCCGTTGTCTGGGCAGACGCTCTAACCACTACACCGTGGAGGCGGTCTTGTTCTCTCAACATATGACACAAGGAAATATTTTTCCTCAGATATTTAGCTTGATAATCAGATTGCTATAATTACAAATCTTTCTGTGATATTTATAGTGTTTATGTTGAGAACAGGGTATAGTGTTTACCCAGTGTTTCAATTGTTTGCTGTGACCGTAGACATGTTTTTTATTCCCAACATTCCCAGTGTATGAAGCCCATTTATTGATTCACCATGAAGATCCGAGATCCTAGTCGTAACTATTATTTACAGATTCCCATCATAGAGATTGAATACTGCTGACTATGGCTCTAAACAACCAACATGTAAGGTGTCCTGTGGGCTGTGGCATGATATTACTAGTTTATTGCTAAAATTATTTTTAAATCCCAGCACACTTATAACTGATGCTTTTGTCAAGTTCTTTCCTTTCTAAATGTACTGCAAGTGCAGTATTTAAATTTTGCAAAGGGGGGGGGAAGGTTCCTTAAATACCTTTTGATTTGATTCAATGGACACTCTTATTCTTTACATGGTTTAAGTGTTTACATTGGGTTTATGATGAGGACTATTTGGCTTTCAAAGTTTCATGCATTTTAATTGGGAACACTTTGAAATCAGTGTTAAGAAATTCAAGACCTGTACCAAACCCAATACTCGTACTTTAAGCAATATTAAACTTACAAGAATGAACTTACTTCAAACTATTGCAACATGAATCACCATGCTAATTACCATGTTCATTGTTCAAGCATCTGAAGGAGACTGGTGTTTCTCTGGTGCCACAACTTACTGTGCAGGGTTGTGTCCCTTAGTTGCTAGGATGTGATATTCCTGATATCTGATCCTTCGTTTTTCAACAGGAAGAACAGAATATCAAAAGTTTGCCTTCTTAATTTGTTTTAATGTTATTGCTGATCATGAAGGGAAATAGGAGTTTTCTGATTAAATATTTTGTGGAAAATCACAGCCTTTAATTTCTTTTCTTGCTAAAAATAAGTTGTCAGTTGTCGAGGATCAAAAACTAGACATTTGGCAGACTGACATGCATGTTGTAAGCCTAGTCATTATTTATGTTTTCAATCTGAGATTCTGATTAATATTGACAGCAAGCCTTAAATTAGATGTTCTATATCTGTATTCTACTTGAAGCCAGTACTTGTTGTTGTGGAAGCGTATTATGTCACCCAGTTTTGGATAATGGTACGTTCAAAACAGCTGTTGTTTCCTTATGGCTGTATGTGTACTGCATGTCATACCTAAAATAACGTTTGCATTCACAGTATTGCTAAACGTGTGTTCAGGTTTGTGGGTGTTAATGAGTTGGAAACTATGTATGGCCCTTGAGGCGTGCAACTGGAAATATTCTCACATAAGATTGAGTGAAATTGAGGGACACGGTTATTACAGTAAATTGAAAGTGTGTGGAGCGTTCTTAATAAGATACCTAGAGGCATGGCAAGTTTTGTTTTTAAAGCTGTACTACATATGAAAACTGGAAGTGGTGAGAAAGCTGTTGTGAAGCAGCTGAAATTTCTTTAGGAGTCCATGAAATGTTGCGTACATGTATTTGTCTGTTTTTCATTTTGCATGCAAAGACCCTTCTAGTTGACAGTGGTGAGCATTAGTTTACCATGACACATGAACTAAGTCACCATAACCCAATTAATTTAAGTTGGTTGCTTGCTTGCATACCAAAATGCATGTTTACTGTGTGATTTCTCAATGTGTTGGGGACGGTGTGGTAGCCTTGTGGTGAAAGCGTTGGCTCATCACGCCGAGGACCTGCGTTCGATTCCCCACATGGGTACAGTGTGTGAAACCCATTTCTGATGTCCCCCGCCGTGATATTGCTGGAATATTGCTAAAAGCCGTGTAAACACAAAACTCACTTACTCACTCAATGTGTTTTTTTTACAGCCTGTTTACATGTATGTCTTTACAGATGTTTTCTTAAGGACTAAATGCAGTCATCACATATACATGAACTTATTGTGATTTACATAACGCAGCACATGAATATTAGAAGTCAATAGGGCCCATAAGTCGGTCACGTCATTTCGCAAGACCTTGGTACTTCCAGAGACAAACAAGGTTTCATACCTTTTCGAATGGTCTCGTGGTTGTCAGTTGACTGTAAGAAGCTGATAATCCTTGCAGGAATAACATATATATTTCTGATCTAATCATGTCCAAATCAGCCAACTTCACGACTGTCGACAGCTGTCACAGCCAAGCATGGCTGTACACTTGGTCCGGTCAAGTAAAGTCATACTTGGCGGTCACGCAATTTGGAACCAGAACTGGTTCTTGAATGTACACTTGTCATCGGAAATTTGGTACCAGAAGTAAGCTGGGCCCGTCTTGTAAGTAGCACCTCACGAGAGTTGCATACCCTATAAGAGGTTATCTGAAACAACATAGAAGCAGAATTATCTTCAGAAAAGTCCACTCATAGTTTTATAAAACCAAAAAGACTTGTCCCATGTCATATATTAGAACATGTACAATGAGTACACAAGGAAAACCTTCAATTCAAAATGTAAATGATAATGTGGGTTAATAATCAATGGCTCAAAGATTTATCATGAGCCCTGAATATCCTGTTCCTCGACTCATCTTTTCAAAGGTTCCAGTGGTCATTGCAGGGCAGAAAAAAGTCCACAATACTCCCTGCTTGTTGTAAATTTGAGATTTTGTTGGTTAAAATATGTCACGTTGCTGATTGCCATTGTATCCCCTTATAATGGATCATTGCTAATTCTATAAATCATTAGATTCCCTAAAAGAGCCTTCTATCCAAGGTCCAAAGTAACCTTTTATTGTTGTAAAAGATCAGGTTATGAGATACCATTACTTGGGGGCGCGGTGGGCGAACTGGCTAAAGCGCCAGGCTAGTGATCCAGCGAGCTTGAGGTGACGGGATCGAGCCCACTTGTGACCGGGTGTAAAAACCTTGGAGTCAACTTTGTGTTCAGACTCTTTCAGTGTTGTCACAACCCCTTGTGTACAGTACACAACCCTGTGCACTTAAAAGTTGTAATACCTCAACAGCAATGGATATTGCTCATGATGTCAAGCATTGTTTTGTCTAACCCATCATTGATAACTTCCAGGCCACTGTTATGTAGATGACTACCTCAGAAAACAAACAGAACCAAATACATATGGGTTGCAGTGTTGTAGCTGAAAAATCACTGGTTTTCTGCAAATGTTCACCAGTAATAACAAGCAGACCAAATAAATATATTTTACCCAAGGCTGTTGAAAGATGATTAACTGTTGCCTTGGTAACCTATTTGATCAGATTATCCAAATAACTAATACGTCATCATTATTCATATCCAGTGAATGAGGGCATATATGTAATCAGATCAGGTTGTAGCATCTGTGATTCTGATTGAGTGAATTATTCTCAAAATAATTCATTTAGGTTAAGCTGTAGTAGATTATGTCATGCCATTTGTTTGTCCCCATGGGGTTTCTAGGGCAGTAAAGCCTCCTGTGCCCCAATTTTGTGAAAGCAAGGCCTGCATACAATAGATATGAGAATCTCCCAATAGCAAGACCTGGATTGGCGGTTTCTTTTCAGTCTTCCAACTCCTAACTCCCAACTTATTGTGTCACTGTCCCAGACAGTGTTGGCTATTGTATATCTGTTTATTCAACTGCTAAACTCAAATCCAAGTCAATTAATGTATCATTTGGCTAGTAAGCCCATCTAAAACTAGTCCATTCATTAATGTTACAATATGAAATTAACACCTTTGATCATCAGGTGTTGTATATTTGATTCCAGTGCGCAGCCTCATCCGCTGTTCCATAGCCTGAGTCTCGTAACAGTGTGTTTGGTCTTGTGGGCTCAGCTACTAGTCCACAAAATCAACAGAAAGGTTGCACAGATTCAAGTTGGCTATTAGGCACAATAGGCTTGGACACAGGCAGTCTCTCTCTGTGTTATGATGCTGGTAAATATTCTGGATTCATTCTGTCATGTTTTGCAACCACTGCATATACACTCACGTTATGTAAAAATGAAGGGAATAGTGATATATACTTTGTCTGGTGATACATGGGGACTATGACGTTATACGAGGTGGGTGTGTAGTATTTTAGGATTGTTTTATGTTTTTTGTGCATTTATGAAAGAATAACAATCACAAATTGTATATAATCGTGTTGGTAGGAACAAACACATCCCTTCTTGATTTGTTGCAGTTACTGACAAATAACATTCAATCTTGATTCCATGTCAGCCAGTGAGAATCTTGGGGAATAGGATAACACATGCACTTGTAATTATGAATATAAAACTATGCACAGTGACCTTATAACATGTATTAAACCGTAAATATTGGAACATCTTCCTTGCACATCGAGACCTAGTCTGCCTCACAGTCCCTCAACCACATTATTTCCCCTTTCTGCAATGAAGCAAGTCTAGATTTCAGGTTCAGGTTTTGAATCACCAATGTCACTGGGGCTCTTTTCATTTTCAGTTTAAAAGGAGTTATTTGTTTCTGTCAAAATCATATATATGTGGAGATTGTCAGTCTAATCGAGACCCAAAGCACATAGGAAACAGGTAACAAAATAACAATAAAGTCAAGCTCTCTTTAATTTGTTATTTACAGGGAATGGGGACAGTGGTAGCCTAGTAGTTCAAGTGGCTGCTTGGTGTGGCTCACCTCTGGTTTAGATCCCTTACATGGGCACAATGCTCACAGTGCCAATCTCTTTCTTGTTTTCTATGATATTTCTTTAACACTGCTAAGTGTTGAATAAAATCCAACTCCCTCACCATTACAGAAAATGGCCAGACAGGCAAGATGAGAGAAAGAAATGTTACTGATGTTTTTCAAATCATCATTATCATGATAATGCACATATAGATGGCAATCTTTCTAGATAAGTATTTCATAGCCTCAATATCTGAACCTTGATAAGCCTGATGAACTGTGAAGAATTTTAGGAATGTTCTCCAATTGTGAATATGTTGAATATTAATGTAGTAATCAGACAGTAGATCTGAATTCTCTCCATATTTTTGTCAAATTATTTTTTTTCTATGCAAAAATATATATATGATACTATCTGCATCAGTACGAAAGTATCATTCAGGTGTGTTTTTACATAGGTCACATGACATTTTTTCATCGTTTCTGTTGTCATAGAAATGTCCTGATTGCAATCCATTATTTTCATCACAGGCATTTCATATTTATTGATTGATTGTTCCAAGTGCACCCAGTGTACTCAACTGTATGTTTACAATGCTTACTTCATGATTTAGAATAGAATCAACATTGAAAAGTCCTATCATATTCTGTGAACTGTTGCTGCAGACAAGGCTGGTTTGACTGGTTATCATTGCTGGGACTGCAGATTAATGACCTATTGATGCCACCACATAACACACAAGCATACAACAATTTTTGCAAATCCATAATTTACCCTGGCTAAATGGTGAAAGAATTAGCTGCACGCTATTGAACCTGAATGGATGGTTATATCATGTACTAGTTGAACCTTTGACAGTCATTTATCTTGATTCGAGTTCTTATGTCTGCTGTGTATGGATTCAGCTAGCATGTTTCCACTATGCTGCGACATGTACCACACATTCGCCCCTTAGGGTTCAACCAGATTAAAAATATTGCATCTTCTGCACGTTTGAATTGATACTCAGTACAAAGAAGGAGAAAGTGAGTGAGTATGGTTTTATTAAGCTTTTAGCAATATTCCAGCAATATTGCAATGGGGGACACCAGAAATGGGCTTCACACATTGTTGCCGTGTGGGGAATTGAACCCGGGTCTTTGGCATGATGAGCAAGTGCTTTAACCAGGTAACCTACAACTGCTGCAGGAAAAAAGCTAATTTATTTGCTGTAATAAACACATTGGGCACTTGTACAAAGGGGCACTTATTAACAATACACATGAAGTTAAATCTGTTTTCAGAGATAGAGATTGATAATAGTAGCAAGGCAATATTAAATGTCCTTCTCCATTGCCATGTTTTCTATGATAAAATGTCCAATATACACACAAGAAAATTTTGACTCTTTTTTTTTTTTTTTTTTCATTATCCATTTTTGAAGGGGATGCTCCTATGATAACTTAAGATCAGTCTAGAAGCTGGCCTGGGGCGCCTAATAAAGCTAATACGGTATTTTAATAATCAAACTTATCAAGGTTGCAGATATTATATGACATGTCAGAGACATCTGTATTCACAAAGGAACGGCAGCCTATGTTCACTGTTTCAGTTGTTGATTTTCTTCGTTATAACTTTAAAGTTGTTTTGTCTGGTTGGCTTAGGTTTTTGATCATATGCAGCGATCAGACATCAGTAAAATGCTCTGACATCAAGTGAAGTGTGCTCCCATGAAGCCAACAGAGGACTTTGACGCCTCAAAATATTATTGAGAGTCCCCATAACGAGAAAAGAGATGTATTGGCCTCTCCTTCCACTGATGCTTATCAGGTTGAGCAAGTGTAGTGATGGAGGTTTGAGTCAACACATGCTGCACATGCATGATGTATGCCAAGGCATATTTTGGCAGCTTCGGCTTGGCTTCCCCACACTGTTTGTGAGATTGTCATATTTTCGCAAACAAAGAGACACTTGTCAGCTAGGTTTCAGGCAAACATGACATGGTTTCTATTGTGCTTTGTTATCAGGCAAATACCTTGTTGAAATGGAACACGTGAAATTGGTAATTTCTGTCATCATCTGTTCCGAACAGGTTGATGTTTTTGTTAAAACAGTCAATTCCTTGACAATAATGTGGCAATAGGTGTTTTTTTGCCATGTGAAACTGTTGCATTGTCCATCAGTGGCCATTATGTTCAGGCCATATATAACCTTAAACAGCTGCTCACATGTGTAAGATATGAAAGGTAACATATTAAGCCAAGATACTAAAAGGAAGAGCTATTTCACATAAACACTAAACAGCTTACATGTCTTGTTACAACTTACATTGCTAATTCAGTTATGTTTTCTTGATTTTTTTGGTGCTTAATATTTTAATCTTTTTCTGAGATTTGTAAAATGCAAACAGTCAAAAAATATTCTGTGTCTGAAAAATGAGATTGTGATTCCTACAAACACGTAATCATTTGTTGTGTTAACCACTACTCATGAAGATTTGTGCAAGGGTCATGGGACCAAAAGTTGAAGGGTAACTGGGTTCAAGGTATCATTTGATAGTAGAAGTATGTTTTCTTTTAATTATCTGAATACAGTTGAACCCATTTTTCTCTTGACGCCTAGGGCTCGAGAAATAGTTCAAATTAAAGAGGGTTCAACACATCCAACTTGACCATGGTACCTCTGACCTAGTAGTCGGACAATACAGGGCAGACGTATCATATCATGTATGTTCTGTTAAATAACATTTATACAATACAAGCATGGGTACAAAGCTGTTAAACCTGACACAAATTGTGTTGAATTTTTCTTATATTTTGAGGGGCGGTGGGGTAGCCTAGTGGTTAAAGCGTTGGCTCGTCACGCCGAAGACCCGGGTTCGAATCCCCACATGAATACAAAGTGTGAAGCCCATTTCTGGTGTCCCCTGCCGTGATGTTGCTGGAATATTGCTAAAAGCGGCATAAAACCAAACTCAGTCAGTCAGTCAGTCTTATATTTTGAGCTTCACTACCAGGATAAGTTGACATATTTTCAGAACTGGAAAATATGGGGTATGACAAGTCTGAGTTTAAAAAGTGGTAAAATATTGGTTTGCAGGAACCGGACTGTAAGTTTGACTTATCCAGGGTTTTAAAGCACCCAAGTTAAAGCCAGAAAAGTTGGATGTTACTGGAGACAATTATTTTTGGTACTTATCATTGTTTGTGTGAGTTCTGTGACTGTATCATGTATGAGTGTTTTTTTCTATTTTGCAGGTCTAGTGAAACATCAGGTTTATGTTCAAAGTGTTATAAAGGTAAGTGAACTCACTGAAATTGTCCTTTGGATAAACCCTGTGTAGTTAGGTCTGTTTTATATCATATCTCGACGTTTGGATGTACAATATACAATTGTGTATTACAAAATCTTCAGAGGCTATGGAACAATGCATTTTGCTGTGTTGGGAGCCAAGAACTGTAGATATGGACGAAGAATGTGTATTTCAAATGGGACAATAGGTTGCTCGAAGGTTCGTGTAAATGACCATCTGTGGGGTCAGATCTTTCTCTCAGATCACAATGAGCAGTATGATGTTGTAATATGATGTGCAGTTTAGCAACCAAAACATATGTTGCTATAATCTTCTCTAAGACTGTTAACAGTTAATTCTGTCATTGATAGAATGGAGTTTAATTTATGGTGTAGTTAGAGCTCTGTTTATGATGAGTGTAGATTTGATGATGCTACTGTACAGCTAAATTTAGCATTGGTAACCTCAGCTGTGCATTTAATTCCAAATTCAATTTAGCAGGTTCATATTTACACATGCACACGATATGCCTTTAGGCAATAATGATTAAAGTAAGTGTGTGAACAGTATTCTAGATATATTACAACATTGTTGTTTTTTTGTTGTTGTTTTGGGGGGGTTTGTGTGGGGTTGTTTTTTTTTGGAGGGAGGTGGGAAGACAAACATGGGTTGATTTCGAATCCCGATCATTTTGAAGTTTCTGGCCACTGTAATGGATACTACGCTGTGCAAGAAATTACGTCACTTTAGACTTCTTTGCCACATGTGCCATCTCAATGTGCAAAGATCACTGTATTGGTTCATGTCTTCATCGTGGGTGGGAAACATAAGTTGGATTTTAAAGGGGTATTTGAGGACATTCATCAAGGTATGTGGGTTTACAGAGGAAAGTATGGGTAAGTGGTAGACATAAGGAGTGGATGGTGAGTGTTGATGGAAATTACTTAATTCCTTTTTAATTTGTTCATAGATTCTTGTATTGCTTGTCACTTAACGTTGCTTTAGCTATATTTGAACAATATGGTGGTAGTCTGTAATAGATTAGTCTGGTCCATTACTCCAGTGATTGACTATGAGCATTGGTTCATACTGTCTAGGTATAATGATCCCTTGTCCACCATATCATCCTGTCAGACCGGGGCGGTGGGGGAGCCTAGTGGTTAAAGCGTCCGCACGTCACACTGAAGACCCAGGTTCGATTCTCCACATGGGTGAAATGTGTGAAGCCCATTTCTGGTGTCCCCCGCCGTGATATTGCTGGAATATTGCCAAAAGCAGCGTAAAACTAAACTCATTCACTCACTCCAGTCAGACCATTGATCTATTTAGTCCCCTCCTACAACAAACATAGGATGGTGGAGCCCAACTTTGAATCCACTCTTGTCTTCCCTTGAAACTGAGGTTTCTTTGTAAAAAATACTTCAGGAGACATTGTTCCAATTAGTAGCATCCTTTGAGAACAATATCCACACTTATTAACCACTATATTTGGTTTTAAGTCACGGCAAGCTTCAAATAAATTCCTGAGAATGGCATGGTTGATCAATATGTCATTTATCAGATGCAAATCTTGCACAATATGTTCTTTCAAGAGACTCATTGGTGTAAATACTACATGGAAACACAGCAATCAAACAGCCCTGGTGCAGGTTATAGGAGAAGCCATGTTCCCCATAGCTTTGCTGGTATGTCCTCAAGGATGGGAGACAAGTGCAGTCAAGCAGGCAGCACAGACAGGCTACAGACAACTCTAAGTGCCTACACTTGCTTACAGTCTCCCATACATTATTTTGCCACACTTTGTTTCCACTGTAACACAATACCACCAAAATTACAAAGTCAGAATACATCTTACATTTGTAGATTTAAATAATTGTTTTGGGAAAGTAGTGAGGTCAGTGCTGTTGTGATGTACAGTAGAACTAAAAGGCTACTGAGTCAGTCTAGCCTAATGTTTAGTAGAGAGATAAAGGCAGACATTGGCCTAGCCCGGCAGGCTGGACTGCCTGCCTGCTTTGCCAGCCTGTCTGCCTGCCTCACATTGTGTTTAGTCAGTGGCATTGCTATCTGTGTCACGTTGTCAAGTCTAACCTCAATCTCTCTAGCATGCAGGGCCCTCCGATCTGGCTAAATTTAGTCCCTACCTTGGGGGGACATCCACTTTATTGTCAGGCCACTGGAAATGTATTCACTTCCCATGCTAGCTTGCTTTCCAGCTCAATCCTTCCAGCAAGCTGCATAGAATTTGCAAGCATTCATTTTGATGATTTGATACTGGGGTGAGGGAACAAATTCCTCATCTAGCAGGGTCAATTTGATCAGGGAACCTTGCAGACAGGGGTCTCACATGTAATACCAATGACTGTTGCTCTAGACTCAAGATAAACACTTGCCTACTTAGATACTTGTTGTAGAATGCAGCTAGGCAAAAACAAGTGATCAAAAGTTTTAACATGTTTTCTTCAATATCATTTTTAATGGAATTTTGTTTGGAAACATGATATTGTGAAAAGAATATATGAATTGGATAATTTTAAGTTGAATATGTAATGTTTTGAGTTTCTATCCAAATATGCAGTCATATGTGTGACTTCCATCAACAATAGAAAGATAGCAACAAATGATTATCTGGTAACCATGGTAATATGTTTGATTTATCGTTCCCCAAATATTGTCAAATGCTTTAATCAGATGTTAATCATGTGGATGAATAGTGAATTACCGACTTGTCAAGAATATTGTGTAACTATGCCATTACTGTGTGTGCACAGGAGATTAGCAGGATTACCAGATAGCCATTTAATGTTTGAATGGAACCAAATCCCTTATTGATTAGAAATGATGTGACTAATCCACTGGCTACTCTGAAAATCAGCTGTAATTGTCCTTTGAAATATGTATTAAGCCTGGATTAGACAATTATTTGCAATCTCTTAACACACTCCAGTATTGCTATCTCTAAGGGGTGTTTAATCCATTGTGGGCACAAGTGACCCACAAGTCTAAGACATCCCAATTCCCTGTGCAGAGTTACATCCATTAAGTCGTACCAGAAATCTGACTGTGCTTGATAACTGGAATTTGCACTAGAAATCAACAAATAGGACAAACAAATCTAATAACATTAATAATAGGTCATGTCCTTATAGGGTAATACATGTATATTTTTAGAAAAAAACACAGCAATTAAGATATTTTTGTACATGTTTTATATTTTATTAAAAGAAAATTGATCATCAATGCAAACATTTCTACATTGCTTTTACATGGACATTTTTTGTGTGACTGACTGAGTTTGGTTTTACGCCGCTTTTCGCAATATTCCAGCAACATCACGGCGGGGGACACCAGAAATGGGCTTCACACATTGTACCCATGTGGGGATTTGAACCCGGGTCTTCGGCATGACGAGCCAACGCTTTAACCACTGGGCTACCCCACCACCCCTTTTTTTGTGTGTGAAATATGTCAAATTTTGTAAAACACATCTGCAATATAAAACAGACTGAGGAGAGATAAGTCCCTGTTACAGTTGCCAACTTACACACCGGTCTGAAGCCAACGTCTTGGGATAGTCAAAGTCTGTTGAATATATGTTGCTGCATTACTATGGTAAAAGTGCAAGGTTCAACATGCTTGCACCTGTTGATGTGGTCAGTGCGGCCATGTTGGAGGGCAGTTAGTATGTTACAGGTACATCTGTTGCCTGGTTACTGCAGCAGGGAAGTAATGGTGTGTGTTGCAGTCTATTGTCCACCAGGAAGTACATGTGATCATCCCTATCCTTGTTGAACCTATCCATCAGCTGAAATATTCCACTACCTAGATACTAGTACACGACATAAGCTGTACGAATGGGTATTGAAGATTCAAACCTTATCCCAGTTTGTTGTGATATGTATGTCTGAAAAATCATTGCAAAAACTGAAGTTCATAAATAGAACAAAACAAGATGTTCGTGATAATGTTCACTCACTATTCATTCAATAAATAAATATTTGCGTAAATGGTTGGTTCCTCAATTTTGTCATTTGGTTGTTTAAGCCCAAAGTACTTCCACACTTCCGCTTTGCCTTTTATATTTTGTCAGCATATTTTAAGTTTGGATGATATGCTAATGATTAATTTAGTGTGGGCACAGTTTAGTATTTATATTTCCTCGTACATGTTTCATGTATTCATGTAGACCAGTGAAGTCCAGCTCTGCTCCCAGTCATGCTGTGTAAAGTGCTCCACCCTTCTGGTGGTTCTTTTGGTATTGACATGGGAAATGATTGATATATGGACAGATGTTCGTGTTTGTCCGGAACAAGCATATGTGTATTGTAATGAAATGCATTATGTTAAGGTATTACCATACATTTGTAGCTGCTAGTATAGTGGGACTCGTATATCACACCACACTTTGAAGTAATACATGTTAGAAATACGAGGCTGTCATGTTTCCTTATGGTTCAAGAGGATCAATGGTACAGATGTTTATTGTTTATGATGTTCCATAAAAGTGTGAGTTAGGTGAACTGTTTTGCTGAAAGTAATTAGGTGTTATTTATCCCAGTAGGGAAAGGTGTGGGACGTAAATGCAGTTACAAAGCATAAAAAACAAATCAGGAAGACCATTCTTAAGTGTTGTTATTCATAATATACTTGGTTACAAATGAACAGACCCTCAATTTTCACAAATATGGAGTAAATGCATTGTTTTATTCCCATCAAATAGGTCAATATATTTCATTGACGAGCACAGAATCATGATAGTGTCACTATTATGTAAATGGAAATGATGGTTTTTAATGGTATGGTATTGAATTCTGTAATGTAATAATTCTCAACATTGCTTACTAGTTCTGGAACTTTTGTCTTAAAATGGTTGTAAAACTGGTCATGCAGTGGATTTGTTTTTATACCTTTTGGTGACCATTACTTGTGTTGTAATCTGTATTTAGTCGACTGACCCTTGAGACCCTAGCGTGGTGTATCATGGAAGTTTACTTGACTGTAGGAAAATGGCTTAGAGGTGAGGAGATATATCTTGCAGGGCTCACCAGCTACAGACATGATCCAGGCACATGGATAAGTCTTCCAGCACTTATCCATCAGCTCAACCAGCCGGTCACATTGATTGTGTCTCACCTCCTGAACCCAATGTCATTTACTGACTGAGGTATGGACAGTGTTACAATGACTTGAGCAAACAGTAACCACTGCAACAGTGTCTGATAAACTATCATGATGCATGGGGACTGAATGACCTTCTATCCAGTGTCTACCACTTCTACCACAGCAGCTGTGTCAGTTTGTGGGAAACTGTATCCTGATAGTCTACGAGTGTTTGAGCAACGTGTTACCCCCTCAAGCCACCCCTTTCCAATCTGACACACACAACTTCTCCCCCACCCCTATCCTGGGTTTGTGTGCGGCTTGTATAGGTGTGCAGTATCTTGACAGTTTATTAAGGCCTCTGTCAACACTGCCTGTGTCTGCAAGCAGTGACTGTGATCAATAGAAAGGCAGGCTGTGTCCTAGTGGGGAAGAGAATCCTTGCTTTGATCCTACAACCAGTGTTGTCTGGTAATGTTCAGCAGTAGGTACGTATTACATGTTAAGACTGATATACAAATGTTGTTTGTATGTTTATATGACAGCTGAACATACAGTCCCAGGTAATCCACATAGCTTATATATACTACTCAGAAAAAGGTAAAAAACTCATGGCTCTTTCATTTACTCTATTTAACTGTAATATTATGATAGAATCATGTGTTCTTAAACTTCTTTGAGTAGTATATATGTGAGAAACTGGATTGGAGGAAAAGCCCAACTTTAATTGAGCTGTTAACATGGTTAAGGCCTGAGTGATATTCAAATATTGTTTATTAGTATATTTTCATTACAGCTAACTATACACCATCCCAGGTGATTAGTGTTTGTTGAGTAAATGCTGCCATGTTTGGTTAATGAACATTTTGCAGGTGTGTGTGTGTATGAATATTGGTCCATATCATTCAGGACTTCAGGTAAACTTAACTCAGTCTCAAGGAATAATTGTAAGACATGACAGCATTTATTGCTACATGTTTGGCTACTACCACTTTGTCAGGCTTTCGGAGAAATAGTCTTGGTAATTGCTTGGAGCTCACACTTGAGCATACTCATTTTAATGTACTATGGCAAAAAGAGTTTTGAATACAAGTAGGGTCATTTGGTGATTTGACCCACTTTATTATTATTAATCAGCTAATAAATGATGATTTGATGCATAACATGATCTTACTGAACTTCATTTCAATGTGTACTCTACTGTATGTGAAATGACGTGTGTATGGTATATTTTTGTATTTTCATAAAGTGCAAAGCTTTTCAGACATGGTCTTTTTATATTGATATTATATATGGTTCAATATATTTCTTAGCACATGTATTCTAGATATTACATTTAGAGAATAATTAGAGATACACAAGAAATTGCGGATTCTCTGCCCCACAGGTATTGATCAATAAATCCCAAGCTTTGGCGATGAACTTTGGACATTATTCCATAAAGGACAGATAACTGGTACTCTGACTGGTGTGTAGGTACACTATGCAGGTGGAGACATCGACGTTGTCGATCTGTTGTGGGAACAATGTGTAGTACAAGTGACAATATTGAATTATTTGTGAAATGCATTGAGGTGACGGCAAAAACGATGGAAACAGTGCAGCAGTTGGCATGAAATAGCCAATCAGTATGATCAGTAAAATATTATGAAAAGTACTGAAAATAGTTGTGCCTAGATCCTGGCCCTGGAGGTAATATAATGATTGTGTGCACTGTTGTCACCATGGCGACTGGTTGATGTTCATGATAACAAGCCTAGTGTTTGCCTCAAAAGATGACATGCATGATGAAAGTAAATATGTCAACTTTAACAGAAAATTTTATCTTTCAGATTTGAGAAAGCCAAGTGTTCCCCAACCAACCTCTGCTTTACGAAGCACTATGGATTCAGCTCCCCACTCCTCACGGACAAATCCTGAAAATCTATCAAAAAAGAACTCTAAAGCTGAAGAGCTCCAAATACCAAATGGAGAAAATCCTAAAGACTTGTCAAATTTCAAAGGAAATGTGTGTGACAAGCATAGTGACTCAGCAGGTAGTTGTACTGCACAGTGTGAACTTTCCTCAGACAAAAAGTCACCGTCAGAGTGCACATCCCCACAGAAATGTGAGACAAAACATACCGCTCAGGAAGGTCAGGAGTGCAGTTCCAGTCAGTCCAGCTCTGATGTAACACTGGATGGGAATAGGGGTACTAAAAGGTACACAAGAAGTATTTGATCTCTGTGTGGAATATAATACCTGAAAGAAGTAGCGTATGTTGTTTTTGGGATTACACTTTATTTCCAGCCAACAAAGTGTATGCGTCTGCTGATAAGGTGACCCTGAGAGTGTTGGTTTGAATTCCCAAAATGAACTAGAATTTGTACGTAACTAACAAAGTGTAATCCTAAGTATAACATACCTTTAATTGTGTGTTCATACTTGAGTGGATGTGGATAGACAATACATCGAAATTACAGTAATGTATTGATGGATTGCATTTTTATATTAGTCAATGTGCAGTTTTTATACCTGTCTGTGTAATACAAGATGCAAGTATCCATTCATAGCTATATTTGTTTTGATTCTATGTTCATATTCTCTAAGTAATATTTACAAACTAACCTGGCCTGCTTAATATCATGAAACAAAATGTTACATCTGACTGCCTTACACCAGTACCATGGTCAGAAAGAGCCTTAAGTTAGCTGTCACTTACTTTAAACATGAACTGGTTGATAGCAACAACCTCTTCACAGCTGTAGCATATTGAGAGTATCAAGCGAAAACAGTGTATATCAAGTATCGCTATATGTTTTGTGTCATGACTCCGCTATTGATAGATGTATCTACATTGGACAGGTGTATTGCAGCTCTTCTATAATTGATGTGTTTCAGATTTCCCTTTAATCATGCCCTGTTTGTTGTGTATTATCATGCTCTTTGTTTTTGGGTTAAAGAATGCAAAATGGCTGCCAAGGCAGCCATATTTGATGAAATATTCTGTCAATTTTATGATCAGTTTTGATGAGGACTTTGATATTTACGTTACTATGTAACATACTTGCATATCCTTTTGAATTTAGTTCAGTGGATGCACTTTAATACATTAGATGAATAATGCATCAGTTACTGATGTGTTGGAGCATGAATTGCAGCATTTTGTGACATTTATGAATATTCTGCTATATTTACTTAGTAACATAATCATGCCGTGTTATAACTGTACAGAAGTGTGATACCCTTTGCAATATCTTTGAATTTGGAATTATGTGAACTTAAACTTCAGTATCTGTAATAAATTGCATTCTGGATGTGATGTAACATTACACAAGCTTCTCTGAAAAAGGTTATTGACCTATATGCGCTGGTTATGATGATCATAGATGTCTGTTGCTGAATGTTAACTTAGGCAAAATGTTTTGGAAATGATATATCATGTCACTGTTATGTTTTCCAGAGATAACAGTGTTTTATCAGATGATTCAGAGTCATCGCCAAAAAAGCCAAACATGGTCCAGAAAAATAAGAAGAGGTGTTACAAATGCAGCTGCAAGCTGGAGCTAGCTCAGAGAGCAATTGGGAGATGTAGATGTGGTAATGTACCCTCTAAAGTTCATTCTTTCATATCTTTAGATCACCCGTTTATACTAACACATTTTCTCATCCAAAACTGTGTTCCACAGGAGATATTGCTTATGTGAGATCTCATAGGATGTATCGTTTTGACAGTAGATTTTGTACAATGCCCTGACGTCATCAATTACATGACTCACAATGCTATGACATCTCTGCACAGCAAGTCTAATGGCAGTAACATGTTCAGAGATGTACATTTTTCATTCAAAACTAATGAAGAGTGATTTTTGATGATAAATAGAATCTCACCCTCATGTCTTCTGATATCAAATCTATCAACACTCATTGATAAAAGTGAAAATATCCTTAGCAAGCCTTGGATATTTGTAACTTTATCAACTCGTGGTGATATATTTGATATCAAAATGCACTCGGGAGAGACTCTCTATTTATTCCATTCAGGGATTCCTTGTGACAGTTAATCCTTAGCTATATGCCCTTAGAGGTGACATGATCAGGGGGTTGATTGGAACCCTTCCCCAAATGCATGAATTGTTGCTTTCAGGATAAATTTCTCATTTGTCTGGTCCAGACTGTTTACAAGCTGCCATCATTTACCCAAATACACGGTGCATGATTAAAAACAAACATACCCAACATACAAATGAAATGAGATCATGTACATCAAATTTACAAGATATTAGCAACATTTTTACAGTTTTAAAATTTGCATTTCACATCAGTACTTTTCTTTTCATTTAAAGATAAGGTATAGTCATTTAAAGTCACAATCGAAGTTTAGGATTGCCTGATGCTTTTGTGAAAAATTACCTACAGGACCAAAATTGATATTTCAAGGTATAATATCAAGACATTATTAAGTGATTAATGGTGATCAAATTATCCTTACAGTTCATGTAATATTTTGTCAGGGTTTCATTTGCTTTGGATTGTCATACAAGTTCATACTGATGGTGTTCAAAGGTGTTTGCTGCTTTGAGGGTGATCCAGTTGTGTCCCACTTTAACTAAACTCGCATCATTTGTTATTTGATCGCGACCGCTGTTGATACTGCATTCCCTCATCATAGCTAATGCCAGTGTTTGCTTCATCACATGGGTACTACGTCTAATGCTGAATTTTAGTGCTACCTGCCGTGATATTGAGGAAATACTCACTCATACATTCTTTGAATTAGAAATGTTTCTCCATTTTAAAATTATTGTTCTTTCTTTTTCAGGGCTTGTATTTTGCCCCTTGCACAGATTGCCTGAACTTCATGAATGTGAGTTTGACCATAAAGAAGAAGGCCGAGAGAAAGCACGTGAAAAAATGGTTAAGCCAACACGCCATCTTGGAACTTCCTTCAGGCGTCTCGAGTCCGATTCTTGAGGTGGTGCCTGGCTAGGAAGTGGGAGTATCAATGCAAATACAAACTCAACTCCTTCATAATAGATTTGTACCACTGACAAAGTTGTGTGAGGGGATGCCTCTCTCTCATTTTGTGGTCAGTACATGATTGTACAGAAGACATATTTCAAGACATAATGATTGTGCATGTGTCTTCACTTCATTTCTCATTGGATTTTATACTTGTGCTGGACATTGGTTTGTAGATATGATGTGTTGTCGTGATTGGCCATTGATTAGCCAATCAAATTTGTTAATGCAGTTAGCCTTGAATTTTCATAGACCAATCAGATGTGGCTTTACTGTCACTGGTTCTTTTAAGCAATCAGTGCAAATCTTATCAATATTTGGTTTACATATTCTGAAAAGTTTGTTTTGGTGACCAAGCGTTTGACATGGTGTGAAATATGCACATGATGATGCAGTTACGTAGTCTCTTTCATTGACCAGATTTCATAATAAAACCGACATCATACTCATTGGTCATTCATTCAATGGTACCAATCAAACTCTTCAATTATTTCATGTCTAAAAGTGCAGAAATACTTGAGGGAAGGATAGGAAATTGTGTTTTAATTATTAATCAAACGTTCAACTGATATATTGTTGATTATTGTAACTTGATTTTTTATTTCTTACACCTAGGTTTAGTTTATGCCGACCTATCAAATCTTCTTTTTTTTCAGTCTTTAAGTGTAATAAATATTAAAAAGATAATTTAAACATGTTTTGATAAATGACACTTGCTCAAGATTTTTGGCAATATTCATTGGTATATATTTCCTTTATAGCCATTAAGGGCTTGAAATATTCTGTTTAATGATCAGTGTTTGAGTTACTTCTCATTGTACTAGTATTATAGGTTCAAGATTTGGTAGACTTAAGATTCAAACACAGTTGGTGTAAAGCTCCAGGAACCAAGGATCCCAAACTTTTTAGCACTGCTGATAACAATTTCTTCCCTACTCTCAAGTATTGGTGTACGTGTAGCAGCAGTCTGCACTACGTCCAAGTGAGTGTTGGAGCAGACGTGCAAGATGTGTGGAACCCTGCAGCTGGTCTGTGTACAAACGGACACCATTAATGTATTGTATCTACCTCTGTGCAGCCTTGCAGGCTGTCCTTGTATGATGTACAAGTTGCTTCATCAACCTGCCTGCCAAGGGCCATTGTGTTTACCTGTAACTAAGCACTGCATTATTGTGGTGCTGTTCTAAGTTCCATGGAATTGCTTGCAGCCACTAGACTAGATTTGGAAATCACAAATGTTAAGATTTTTGGGTGGGGACTAGATTTTCAAAGAACATTTTTTAATATATTTATTACTTGTGTCAAAAGTCATGCTCACTTGAGGAGTTCTTGTACTAAATCAACATGACAACATAAAAAAATGCTGTTTTTTACTGATACAACATCGGGGGATGTCCCAAATTGATTTCATTTTGAATGAGACTAAAAGGTCATGAATGAGATGTGTTTATGTATAGTTCTCTAAATCTTTCAGATATGTCTTATTGTTGACCTTTCCAAAATGTTTACCTGTATTGGTGTCTTTTAAGCTAATGAAGGTGAAGGTCAAAGAGAGAAACAACACTTTCTCATTGTTTGGGTCTGCAAACTGCATTTCACACAGAATATAGGTCACCATGACCTACAATTATGAAATTTGCTGACTTTAAATTCTTCCTCATATAATAAGACTCTAGATAAAAGTCATCACTGGTAGGTATGACATGATTTAACATCAAACTGAAGACGTTTTACTGGGGGGGTAATGTTTTTTGTTGAATTGCAAATTTTGGTCCCCCGAAGAATAAATGGATGATGCAGCTGCTGATTTAGTTGATAATAGATTTTGAAAAGTAAGAATCCTGTAACTAGTTAAAACCAAACTAATTTAGTTGTATTTTTATATATTTATTAACTTCTATTAATGATATAGTTTTCAGATAAGGAGAGCATATACATGAAGAATACTCTTCTTCTTTTTTTTCAAACTAAATGATGATGATAATTCAGATTTGTTCTGATTTCATCAAGTCCATCTCCATAAACCTGTTTAATTACCGGTACCTGTGTGTTACATATTGTTTTAAACTTTGGATTTATCAATATGGCTGCTGGGAAGTCGGCAACTGAATGATGTACTATGTCTGTGGCAGCATGCACCAAGCTTTTTTACGTTTACCTATTTCTCGGTTACATTTATTTCTCATGGACCTTGCTGTTATCTCAACAACATGTTGGTAAAACCAAGGCCATCATAAATTGATTGCTAGTTTTGTCCTTTTGCCAAAGTTTGATTCATCCTACCTCATTGTGTACTGTAATTATTATCATTTTTCATTAAAGTAGTATAACAAAAATAACATAACATATTGATAAAATAACAGAACAATATCAGCTTCCCTATGTTCACATTTCAGAAGAATGTGGATTAAAACTAATAACTGATTTATGATGGCCTATCCATCTGGTATTATTTCCCTGAGACTATTAGAATACAGGGTGTCTGCTGGTATTTACTCTCATCTACATTTCGAATTGAGGAAGGAAGTGTCCATTTCTGTTGCACTCTATGCACTATACCAACAAAGCTAAATTCACTTTATAAGAATATGCATTCAAGTCATTTTTTAACCGTTTGCATGTGAGTAAATTGTTTTGTTCATTTGTAAAAACTATTTTGATACATGGAGGCAAAAAACTGATATAGGAAACCCAATTTTTTCCACAGGACAGTGTGATAATTTTAAAACATTTAAAGATACGTAGTTCCCTGAATATCAAATGTGCAGCAACGTTTCATTTATGTCCCACAGTGCCATGACATCACTTAACGAGGTTAGTATAGAGAGACATCATTATATTACCACATGGCACTACTTCCTTTCACTTTTAACATAGAAATTGTAAAATGGGAACATATTCAATATGTTCTATTTTTTCTTATATTATGATTATTGGCATCCTTGCAACATTCAGACTCCTGATAGCTGGCGGCTCCAGTTGAGCTGAGAACACTAAACCATACCAGCGGACATCCAAAATTCATGAGTTAGAATCTGAATCTTGAAGTGTGAATATTTATGTTTAACATTATCAGTATAATGTTTCCTCATTAGAGTAATTTATAAGTGTGCAATGATCGTGAGTTCCATGCTTCTGACTGTAGCCCAGTTTGTCATATGTATGTGGAGAAGAGTCGCACAGAGATCTATTTTCAATACAGGTCATTAGTGATTTGAAAACCAGTCATCTATCATGATGAGACAAAATCATCACTCACAATGTATTTGCCCAACAAGGTATATCAGTTTGATGAAAATGCTTGGATAGGTTATATGTAAGTGAGGTGTCTGTGTATAGTTGGCCTCTTATGTTATGAAAATTTCATGGATATGTTCATTATTCCATTGACAGTATATTACATTACATCATTTGGTTACATATGTTCAGCAGGCATCTGAAGAACGACATTTACATCCATACATATTTTGGAAATTGAAATTTATGGCCATACATTTTGTATTTTTTCATTAAAAATATTAGGTTTTCAAACTAAACTGACTGATCAGTGATATTGAGTTACCATTTGAAAATTAATTTAAAAATATTAAAGATCAGAAAATGTTACTCAACATAATATTCATCTTTGAAAGACTTTCTACACCTTACACAAATCAATGAAATCTCAGGTTTATAGTGTACTGTTGGATATTGAACAAGTGATCCAAAGTAAGACAAGGCAAACAGAGTTCCCTCCCCTTCCTTCAACCCTGTTATCAGGAGTTATAAGTTTGTTCGCTTGTTAAAAACAGTGTTAATTATATATTCTCTTTTCTATGAGGATAGGATACTCTGTTTATATTTGTAGAATTACACCTCGGTTAGTTTGTAGACATATATTAGAATTATTTATTACCTGGAGTAGAATCCCTTTGTTATGGTTATTTAGTCAGCAATGATTTTGTTTACAGATATTTAAAGAATCTTCATTTGTAAACTTTGCAGAGTATACAACATTTATTTAATGGTTGAAGTCTTGATACTAGGAGACAATGACACATTGTACTCATTGTTGGATAAAAGTGCTGTGAAATTGATATCCATTTACCAAAAGAACATCAAGACTTAGTTCTTCCTTGTGTCATTTGATGTTTCAACTTAGTTCCATCATCAGTGGGTCTATTCTTTGTGACAACAGGTTGTGGGGAAATATGGAAGTAAATACTACTGGCAGGATAAGAAATAAATAATTTCATCATGTTTCACAAATACTACATATTAGTCTAGTGTGTTAACTGGTATGAAAGTTTTCCTTGATAATAATTTTGTGATAGATATTATTATGAAGTTTAACTGCAGCTAAAATCCTAAACTTTTAGTGTTGCATTGTGGCAAACTGTAGTTCAGGTTCAATCAACTTTAACAGGTTAATATTCAGGACTTGTTATTGTAAGTGCTGTATTATTAAGTTTGTCAAGTTAGCTATGTATGTGGAATTGTTTTCTGGAATGGGCCTGGTTGCTTGATGGTAGTGAGCGGTTAAAACATGCTTCAATTTCCATGGAAGAATGGGGGAGATTATCAGGCTAGACAGACATATCTGACCCTTGAACTGCATAATGTTTCTTCCAACTGATTCTCAATATGTTATCTTGTCAAACATTCACTTAAATATTTCTTTTTAAATATTAGGTCTTACAAGACATATATAAAAGTTCATTTGATATCCTTTTCTGCTGTGAAGTGACAGCTTGTCATGAATTTGTTGTGTTTAAACTTGTCTGCATGATAAAGGTTGAATGAATCACTTAGCAACAGTGTATATGTAAGTGTGTAAAACACTGCTCTAAAGAAATTACAGAACACCCAGGTGTTTTTTCCGTATGACTGGAGTTAATCTGTCAAGGTGTTACAGATTATCAATAGCCATATGAACAAATCGGGTGTTCTTGGACTTCTCTAGGGGAGTATACTGTGAAGGGTACTACTTCCTTAGTCATCTGGATTTTGTTTGTCTGCTTTTACAAAACTTGGACATGACTGTACCTTTCAGGTTTTGTTTTTTATAGATAATACCAATATGGAAATTGCATATCACACCCACGATATGCAACTAGAATGTCTTGTTTGATTTTCAGTGCTTCCATCCCTGTAGCTCTTTTAGTAGTGAAGCACTTCAAATTTTAGTGAAAATCTGATGCATGCTTGTCCAGAGATTACTTTTGTTTCAATACCTGCTCGAGAGATTTCCCTAGACAATGCTATTTTTATAACTATTACATTAAAGATCAAGCAGTTTCATTTTAAGATAACTGATCTTATATGTGTAATTAAGATAGAATGTAATTCATTTCTTGTAATAAGTTACATTTTTATCTTTTGCCAAGTTGTTAACAAGAGTGACGCAATCGATAGGGATTATTTAAATAATGTTATCTCACACTTAAGGTATGTCACTCCAGGAGGTGTGTTTATCTGGGGAAATCTCGAGTTGGACACTTAACATCATCAATTGGCAATAACCATACTGTACCTCATTGTCTAGGTTTAGGATAATGATTATAACATCAATAAATGACACCAGTATAATATCACAGGGTATCTTTCATTATTTGGGTATTCAATGTGGAGATGGTTTTATTCAAGGTCACATACAGAATTGTTTTGATATAGGCGCATTTGAAAACCTTTCACAACTTCAACTGCAAATCACTTTCAGCTGTTGTCGGTTCAGCTGAATCAGTCCAGCTTGTCCAGCAGGCATTCTCTGTGAGAATTATCATCTGTATTGCCCATACCGGCTAACTGGTGCTGGGTCCATAGTAGCAAGGCCCAACAGCCATGTATCAGCGGTGCGAGCATCCAGTGGAGTAGAGCAGGTCACAAGTCACCTTAGCTTCTCATTAGCATGACTGGACCAGATCATTTCTCCAGCTTGTCTGCTGCCGATTTGACATCAGGATTTAGAAGCTACAGCATTAAACAACAATAACTAACCCAGGTATCAAGTGCCCATTGTAACAACTAATGTTTGGGTTGTCCCGGACTGAGTGGGGGAACAATTTAATTCACCGAGTGAGTGAATAAAATACCCTGCTTTCAAGAATATTCCAGCAATATTACAAGGGATTCCAGAAATAGGCTTTACACATTGTACCCTGGCCTTGGGCACTCCAGCATATTTAACCACAGGGCCAGTCCAAAGACTGATGAGGAACACAAATGATCATAGCCAGCAAGAAGCACCAGCTGTTCAGCGCCAGTATCCATCAAGCCCCCACTTTAAAGGTCACATGCAACGTAAAACACAACTTTGCAGATTCTGATACCTTTCGGTATGGACTTACCGAAACAAATCATCAAAAATGCAAATTCAACTTATAAAGTTGAAAAATAACGCGATGAAAAAAAAAGCGCGAAATCGGAGTTCAAACGATTCACTAAATTGAAAACTGGTTTCAACAGCTGGGCTGCACTCATAGCACGTCTGCGCAGTGAAATAGGTTCGCGCAACTTGGAAGCGGGCTGTCCGGTGAATACTCGGTGAAGGCTTTGGTGTGAGCTATTTTTCTAATGTTTTGTTGATATCTCACAGGCGCGAGCTTTTTATATGTTATGACAGTAAATAAACTGTTTATATAATTTCATTTGTCTATTTCACCACACGTTCTTCTTACCGAGCCACTTTCTCAGTTCGATACTTAAAAGCAATGTCATTATTTAGCGTTGACAGAATTTCTAACTGTGATATAGATATGTCGTTGTCACAGACAAAACTCAATGTCTTGTTTTATTGACACCTGTGTGTCTGCCTGCCTGTCTGCTAATGACAATATTCAATACACAACTGCGATCACTGACCACATGCAATTGGAACTTAACACCAATCAGGCTATACACCATAAACAAAACGCATTGATTTATGGCCCGAGTTCGGTGTCTGTCACATTATGTAATTACACAGACAGGCAGGTGTGATACTTGAACACATGACATGTTATGATGTCTGTTGATTGCTAAATGTTATACACAAAAAATGAGCATGTATTTACAAAACCCAACATCTCTATATATACACACACAATGAGCCGTGAGGGCATCTGCAAATGAACCAACCGTTACACTTGAGTGCACACCCACCCGCTCTGACTGGGTTCGGTATCCCGGCTGCTTCGTTTCTTGGGAAGTAAACCCAAGTACACAATATTGCACTTTTGATTTGCGATTGTACGCTTATAATTTTGTTTATATGTTTTTTCATAACCAGCAATGTATATTATATGTCATGAATAAGTGATAATTGTGTTTTAATTATGTTTGATTTTTTGGTTGCATGTGACCTTTAAGCATCAATGGTCAGTGGAAGCCACAGTGGCTAAGCAGGTTGGGCGGCTGACTTTGTGTGCTGGCGATTAGGTGGCTGACTCTGAAGGTGTGGGTTCGAATCCCAGATGGGATTCAGCCCAACAAGGTGTACTAAAGTACTGTCGGAAATGCTAGAAAAATGCTTTTTAGCCTTAATATCTTTATAAAGGTGATAAATGTACTATGTTGTCAATATATCAACTCGCCTATTGTCTACCTAATTTTTATTTCAATCGATTTAAAATTCCCATGCTTTTAAAGGGCAGTTTACAGGAGAGAATTTGGTACCAAAACAGCAACGTTGCACATTTCTACAAGCAGTCGATAAGATAACACAAGTGATAGGATTCTTTCCAATGTACAGTAATTCGTATGTTTATTTCAAAACACACACACATACACAAATGATCCCTTACATAACTGATACGTATACTATACGTACACATATTCAACATTTTGCAGAAAACATCTATTGAGATGACCCCTCGCCCCGAGCGTGTGCTCAGGTGTCAATTTCACCTGTCGATACCGTGCATGCTGATGACATAACACAGGCAGTTAATGTTTGTTTCAAATAACGTCCAACTACCCCTTATTTTTCTAAGTTTTTTTGTATTTTCATCAGTAAAAACACATTTTAGAGCTTGTCTCAAAATTTATTCCCTCGGTCTACATTAGGTAGATGTTTCTTGAAGTGATATTTGTTATTTAAGTAACTGTAATACCTCTGAATTTTAAATATAAGTCAAAAAGCATTTTTCTAGCATTTCCGACAGTACTATAGAATCTGTACTTTACTAAGAAAGTGTAATCCCAAATATAACCATATGTAACGTCTTCTCATCCTGTTCACTAAACAGGTAAGACGACTCCAGCCCACTCCTCAAAAAAGCCAAAGTCTTTGTTTCCTTCAGACATTTTTACTCGTTTTCACATTCAACAGAACTCAAACATTCAGGAACACTTGCTTAACAGCATGAAAGTAGAAAATTATGTTTTTAAGTAGAATGTGTAAGTAGTCCTTAGGTTACCATTCAAGTATTACATCTATGCATTATGCAGAATATTTCCATGTAAGCTGAATACTAGGGCTGCAACAAATCCAGTACGAGACTAAATATGATACATATCATGAAAACAGGGTAATGAGTGCGAATATTGGGTGACAAATAACTTAAGTGAGCAATTGTTGTAGTATTCATCATATTCAGTGTAACAACAAAATACATTCTCTGATATGTTCTGACCATGTTAACAGTGAAAATGGAACACAACAATGCCCAGAGACCACGTCAAATTGAATAGATAACAGTGCCTGGACTGGATATATTCCATTGTGCATATCTCAATTTGAAAGATAACACCCATACTTAAATATTAACACCCCTTTCGAATTTCGTGAATAGTTGATACATGTGATCACGAATAAAAACTTGAATTCATGAAGTGATACAGAGTATGAATGAATCGTAACAGCCCCAGTAATCACAAGCAGTATTGTATTTGTTGCCATAATAACTGAACACTTGGAGCAGAACAGTTAATCCATGTACTGACTGAAAGATGACAACAGACATTCTTTGTACATGACACTCGCAGTAGTTGGATAAGAGTTGGCACAATCAGGACTTAATCATTCATACATCAGATTCATGTAAGGTACTAGTACTAGGAGTATACATGATTATAAAACACCAGTACTCCGTAAAGGTCATGGGTCAAGGACAACAGTTAATCATTCTTCCAAAAGTACAAAGTTCTATGTGTCTCTCATGACAAGTACAAAAAAAAAAAGGGTTTCACTTTGTTTATGAAAAAAGCAGCCACAATGGCTCTGTGCACACTGTTGAAGTCTACAAACTAGTTGTATCGTTTAGGAGTATACAAACTCTATATCTTTTAACCTTGCCATCGAGCTATATAATGCTGGTCACATGTTGCTTCAAATATGACTTCTTGAAATATAATTAGTATTTCAGATGACAACAGGTGAACTATGCAGGAACCCTACATTATATGTAACCCCTGCAGCAGAGCTCTTCACTGTCACTCGTGGCATAGTCATGGCGTGTTTGAAAAGTGCCACATACTTTCATGACCATTTTAAAACAGGACACTGTAATTTTGCTTTCTTCATCGCCAAATGTTCTCTATCACAAGTTTGACTATTGGATGTTTAACTTGATATCTGAATACAACACCTATAGCTGCTAGTTGATGAAATGCATCAAAGGTATGAAGACTGAAATTCCCACTTCTGAACAAAACATTGATGTAATTCAATTACAAATCAATTATAAATAGAAACTCCATGCTCTCTATGAACAAGACATAAGAACATTCAACAAAATTACAGTCTTTTGTAGATTTGTATCTTAATTAAAAGAGTTCATTCAAGAAATCTAATCCATAAACATGGTAAACAAACATCGTGTAATCATTTCAAAACATTGGACATTTATCTGCAGAATAAAGTCTATGGTCAAAGACCGTAAAATGATCCATTTGAGACATTGTAAATGCAGGAACCATTACTGTTTATAAGACTTGATTACAATTCTTCCTTCCTTTCAATCTTGATCAGGTCCACTTCAAAGATGAGTGTTGCACCACCTGGAAATACAGGATGTACACATTATTCATACACCAGAACTTCATGTGAGCTACATATCTGCATAACAGAGACAAATATACAGCCATAAACCTGAATGTGTAGTTTACTGCATACATATGCAATAACACTTCAAAAACACAAGATGCGGTGGGGTAGCCCAGTGGTTAAAGCGTTCGATTGTCAAACCAAAGATTTCCCACATGGGTACAAAGTGTGAAGCCTATTTCTGGCGATACCGTCATGATATTGCTGGAATATTGCTAAAAGCGGCATAAAACAAAACTCACTCACTCACTCAAGACCACAGTATAATAGATGATAGCAATAAGGCAGTTGTCTCTTCCGACTACACACCTGTATGGCATTTACTGACAGAATAGAGGTATCACATTTACATTCACAACTCCACTACAGATGCTGTGTGTTGCCTACTGTAACTTTAACATGTTCACTGTTGTGAGTTTATGTAACATGTGAAAAACTTGGGGCAGCACATGAGCAGCTTCTATAAATGGCAGTTTGAAACTGATCTGATGAACAAGGGAGATAACTCTATGGATGTATTCTTGATGATAAAGAAGCTGTGTATCCATAGAATTATCTGCCTTGTTCAGCACACAAACAGATGCAAATTTGAATTCCTGAAACAGCATTTCAAACCAAATTACTTCAAAAAGGTTTATTTAATTGGTTTAGAACTACAGAAGAGGCTGCATCACAGAGTTATACAACTATTTTGGATACTAGTACCTACAGAATACTATCATTACCCAAGGTAAATGATAACATGTAAGTTTACAGTGAATGAGTCAAAATATTGCAAAGTCCTTGTGATGAACAGTACATAAAATACCATACATCATAGGGCCCATTTTCAGCCATAGGAAAGGTTTGATGTAAAAACGGTGGAGGTAGATACAATCATGAAAGTCATCAGACGTGCCCATAGGAATGATATTAGCACATTGTCCTTTTAAATTCCAAATATGTGAATGTTTAATGCAATTTGAACAGGATTCCTAGTACATTAAGGGCATCATGACCGAGTCAGATGTGGGTCTTGGTCATCCACCATTTTCATAGAAACCAGAAGCATGTTGTAGTTCTGACACAGCAATGTAATCAGTCTGAAATCTTAGCCTGCGGGTTACTGCAGCTAAAGGGACACAACTCTGTAAAGGGACGTGTTTGTGGGGCAGACCATGGGAAACAGTGCTGGAATGATTGTTTCAGTGATTTGGGTTTAATGGTGAACAGTGTTTCAGCAAATCATGGTATGTCATCTTGATGTGGGAGAAGATACACACAGAGATCCATGGGTGAGTGAGTGAGTGAGTGAGGATCATAATAAGAATGAATATGTAATCCAAACCAATGATCACAAATCATAGCATGGCTAAGTGAGTTGGTGAGTGGGTGGTCAAGTTTGAGAACCTAGAATAGCATCAGAGTACCAGTTTAATGAACAAGGAAAGCCTCCAGTGAAGTATGTCTTCACTGTAACATATTACATATTTGGGATCACACTTTCTTAGTAAATTACTGATTCTTGTACTTTTGTTGGGTTGAGTCCCATCCCAGGATGGTACTTAACGCAACGAAAGTACAAGAATCTGTAGTTCACGGCATGAGGTGAGGTGAGGTGAAATTGGGTTTTACGTCCAGACTGAAGCTGGTTTTATAGTGCTAGCCCACTGAGATACCATGCTGCAGTGAAGCATGAATACCCCACTCAGACACATTATACTGACTCCGAGCCAACCAGTCCTTGTTGTACCCATTAATGCCGAGCGCCAGGCAGGGACCAACAAGTACCATATTTTAACGTCTTTTGGTATGACGCGGTCGGGGATCGAACCCGCGACCTACCGCTCTCCAGGCGGACGCTCTAACCTCTACACCACGGAGGCGGTCTCATGACATGAGGGACATATACAGGTAAATTGATTAAGATGTTCATATCATCAGTATCTTCATGTGATTTGGCTCTTACCTGGAATCTTTGGCGGTGCACCTCTGTCGCCATAACCCATATCACTTGGTATAACCAGTTTCCTCTTCTCACCTTCACACATCCTGGAATGAAAATGTTCATGCACTTACAGTGAGGCATTTCTTCTTGCATGGTTTCTTATCCAAAGAATAAAATATTGTGAAAATATGACATGATTTTTGCATGATTACACAATGCTATTTAGAAAGTGGTCAAATGCAACATGTTATATTCGGGACTACACTTTCTAAGTAAAGTACAAATTCTAGTACATTTGGTGGGTTGAGTCCCATCCGGGATTCGAACGCACACCCTCAGAGTCAGGCACCTAACCCACTCAGCCACCACCGCTGACTTTGCGTGCTGGGGATTAGGTGCCTGACTCTGAGGGTGTGGGTTTGAATCTCAGATGGGACTCAACCCCCAAAGAAAAGTACTAGAATCTGTACTTTACTAAGAAAGAGTAATTCCAAATACATTGAATAACATATGTTACATGATTTTTGCAGGTGTATTATTTTCTTAGAATCAACAAAGATTGAAAAGATGGCAAGGAAACCTAGACTTAACCTAAATATTTTATTTTCTCATTGTGGCTTTTGACCTTTTTTTTTCAGTCTGTTAAATAGAAAACAACACAATCACGACACAACAAGATAAAGAAAGAACCACTATCTTGCACATTGTTTAATGAGTTTGATTAACCAAATGTTACTCATGCTGTGAGAATGTCCCACCCATACCCGAACAATCCCTGGTCCCAGCCTTTGATGACCTGCCCAGCTCCTAGTGTAAAGGTAAATGGCTCATTCCTTGACAAACTGCTATCAAACTCGGTACCATCTTCTAGCTTGCCCTGAAATACAAAAATAACCAAAATCCTGTTAATGTAATACAAAACAAAAAATAATGCAATTTAACTTTAGTTATCGGAAGACTCAATATGATTGTTGCCAAATCAATGCATATGCATGAAGATGAGCAGCCAATTACATAAAAGGAATATTTTGAAAATAGTTTATCCACAATGCAAACAAATGTTGCCTTTAATACTGAGCTGGATGACTCGACAGCTGTTAATTATTGATGTTGGCATAATGCTGATTTGAACAGTATTTCAGGTACATGTATATCATGGCATGTCAGCAATGACAGTGGCACTGATGTGTGAAACGTCTGGACATAATGCTTATTTTGTGGGAGAATTCTTTGAAAATCCAAGACAGAACTGGTGTTCAGCACCCCATGCTTGTCATAAGATGCAATTAGCAGGATCAGTTGGTCTGGGTTGCTGACTTGCTTGAAACATGTCACTGTATCCAAATGAATAGATCAACACTGATGATGTTAATGTGATTTTCTGGACCAGACCTGATTATTTACCGACCACCATTGTGTACATGGGAAATTGCTGGGTGCAGAAAACCAATCAAACAAACCAATAACATCGGAGGAGCCCAAAGTGATGCTGGTCTCACCAGTTTAGTTCAACTCACAAGTGTTGATACGGTACTAACAAACTAGACTAACGCTTAGTTTCTGAATATACATAGTTTTTATATTAACAAACAAGCCCATTTAAATTGAAAAGGAGCCCCAGGGAGACCAGAGATTCAGACCTGAACCTGGCGAAATCTAGACTTGCTGTATTTAGGGCTTTAGCACTGCAGATAGGGCTTGGCAGTAGGGAAAATAATGTGGTTCAGGGACTGTGAGACAGACTACTAACAAACCTCCAACCATATTCAGGGTGAAACTGGAAATCCAACAAACAAGATAGGTTTCTGGCATGCAATTCAGCAGTTGACTGAGATATCCATGACCCTCTGCTTTTACTGAGATATGTACACATATAGAATCATTATTTCTCTTACAGTATAGTGCATTTTCAAAGTGTCTCCTTTCCTGGACTTAATAGTGCACTTGTCTGGATCAACCCTCTTCTTCACTCCGATCTGTAATTTCTTGCCTTCCTTCTTTTCTGTCTTTCCGTCTGCTACCACTGCAAGCCATAGACATGCTAGTGCTACCAGTTGGTACAGATATCCCACCTTCATTTTGAATGATCCTGAAACAGGAACAAAATCTATCATATAATTTAATATACAATCATCAAAGTGCACTGACACCCGTCTGCATCTTAGAGTTAGATATACTCAGTCGATTAGAATTACATATAAGACAACACCATTCACTGATTCAGTTCTCAGTCGCCAAACAGATCTTACTTGTCTATTTGATAGTAACAATGTTCATTGTAAGCAGATTAGTATGTCCGAAATTAACAGAAAACATAAGGAGCAGTGACTAACTGTCAGTTTACGACGCAAATTTCATTAATCAATACCTACCCGGTTATTTTTTAGCCTTTACACTATCCGTGTTACCGCAAGTACCTTGGAAATACACGCCTATTTCAGTATTTTGTGGCGTGTTGTGATTGGAGCGCAACGAGCACTTTTTGGAACTCTTCTATTCTGGAGATGAATTTTCCGACAAGGTCATCACGCATGCGCACTTCATAAACGTATTGGAAGCGTTTGGCGGCGAATAGGAAAGTTTAGAGACAATCGGTGTAATCGAACTGTATCAAGATGTCGTAAGTACATTTTTACAGTGTAAATATGTGCCAAGATATTATTGCAGCTATGTCCAACGGTGATTTTTGTCGTATGGCTTATGTACGTTCACATGTTCTTTTATGTTACCGGTGATCAAATGTTTTTGTTTATGTTTTCATTATCCGTCCTAAGTATACTTGTGCTTCCTTAACTGAAGGTTACATACCTCGAAATATGTGCCGTAGTTGTTTACAAAAGGTTAAAATGAAATTCAAGGTCAGAAAACTTTCTCTACTATCCTTTGTTGATAATTTGATCGTGTGTCCTGTTTTCGATCACACTGCTTCTTACGACGTCATGTAAACGTTTTGACAATCTACCATGTCACATTATGATATAGATATTCGTGTACTCGTGCATAAACAAGGTTATGCATACAAATCTGTATTTATATTTTCATAGGGCACTAATGCAGAAACCGAAGAGTGAAATGACACCAGAAGAGCTGTCTGCAAGAGAACAGGAAGAATTCAATACAGGACCTCTGTCAGTTCTGACACAGTCGGTAAAAAACAACACACAAGTCCTCATCAATTGTCGGAACAACAAGAAACTGCTTGCCAGGGTTAAAGCATTTGACAGGTAATTCCTTTTGTTATTACACTATGCTCGCTTGTCAGTTCTGAATGTTTTCATAGTTTTTATCTCTCATCAGTTTCCACCAGTGACTAGTCTGAAACATTCTCTATCGGGTAGTATTGAAATTAAGTTGATCAATTAAGATGACTTAATTTCTTCATTACTTATTGTGTTTTATGTGACGATAAATTGAGTATTAATGTCCTATGTTCTTCTTGTTCAGGCATTGCAACATGGTCTTGGAAAATGTAAAGGAGATGTGGACAGAGGTTCCCAAAACAGGCAAAGGGAAGAAGAAGTCAAAGCCAGTGAATAAAGACAGATACATTTCAAAGATGTTCTTAAGAGGAGATTCTGTTATTCTTGTGCTCAGAAATCCTTTGGCATCAGGAAAGTGAACATTCATGGAACTACCTTTTATCAATCCTTGGGGAAGTGTTCAAGTGAGGACTTAACAGAAATACAACTGAAGATATTGCAAGGGCTTTGTATGTCTGTTTTGCACATGTTGTAAGCTTGTTTTGTTTCTGTGGAATCAAGTTTGCCTAATTAATCAATGTTTCAGTTTTATCTTATTTCATCACAGCTGTAACAGTCAGGTATGTGTTTTGATAAAAGATCAACATACTAACATATTAAAGAAATGAGGCACATCAAATGCATTCATACCTTTTTTGATAAGTACTTCAATTGAGAATATCATCAGCATATATTTTCAGATTCCACATTATTCACGTCATTGTCAGTATTTAGTCTCTTTTGATGTAACATTTTGTTTTTGTAAATAAAACATCATACATTAAAGATATGCATTCTTTTTTGGCCCTGTGAAATTTTGACAAAACACTTGAATTTAGACTTATTGGTATTAGTGTGATTATTGATAATGAACATGGACACGCTCTAAAAAGCCTGGATCTGCTGCTTTTGCCCAGGGATAACATGTGACACACCAGATGAATACTAGCTTCCAATAATGGATAGTACTCAGCTATGTCTAGTTCGTGTTATCTCACTGATGACTTGGAGATATAATAATAAATATACATTTGTAAAGCGCCTAATATCCACCTTACAGATGCTCAGTGGCATTTAGGTATCTTTAGTGGTTGTATTTCTAAGGTTTTGAGATATTGGGGGGAGGGGGGGTGTTACCTGTTTGATAGAGTATTGGTTTACTAAACGTTGGATGCATTGCAATAATATGATTATTGTCACAAGGTCATTTGCACAATGGTACAACTACAAGTATGATTAAACTAGGGACGTATATTAAGTGACATTTTTTATGGGAGATTTTCTGATGGAATGAGCAAACGCCTTTTTTGTTGACTAAGAAATGCAGAATATGTTTATTGTTGGTTTTCGCAAGTTGTTTTTCTAGTCATCACTTTGATGGTGGATTATACATTTGCATAGCAAGTGTCCAAGTGTAAATTATTGTGTGTCATATTTGAATCTTCATCACAAAGACACATACCGCCTCCTTGGTGTAGTGGTAAGAGCGTCCGCCTGGAGAGCGGTTCGATTCCCGACTGCATCACACCAAAAGACGTTAAAATATGGTACTTGTTGGTCCTTGCCTGGTGATCAGCATAAATGGGTACAACAAGGACTGGTTGGCTCGGAGTCAGTCTAATGTGTCTGAGTGAGGTATTCATTCTTAACTGTGGCATGTTATCTCAGGGAGCTAGCACTATAAAACCAGCTAAAGCCTGGGCTAGTACAAGCAGCCACACATATGTATGCATGTTGTCATGTGAGAGCGAAATATTCTTAAGTACAACGTTAAACCCCATTTCACCTCCCCTCACATATACACGTGTGTCTGTATGTATATATATATATTTCTAAGATGCTTAGTGCTTAGAACAATAAAAAAAAACTACTTTATCAGACGATAAAGGTATAGTTTTTTGATGACGTAACAATTGAATGACGTTATCCCGTCACTGCGCCATTCTAGTGTGCCCCCTCGTAATCGAACCATTTTACATTACGTCACAGTGTAACCGACGTCACGATGCATGTCAGTTGTCATCCCCTCGTTCAGCCTCCTACAGTAAACTACTGCGTTGCATCCCGTTTCTTGGTTTGCAGTTGCTTCACTCACCTAACATCACTGGTGGAAACATTACGTTTGTTTTCTGACGTTTTAAATGTCTCAATTCGACTCGCATGTTTTCAGCGACACGGTAACGTTAGCAATGTTTACATTCCCACAATGCAATGGAAGTGGAATGTCGCTAGACTACTCAGCTTCGTCTGGATGTACTGATCTAAACATACGTTGGTAGTAGAAATGCAACGTTCACATGGTTTACGTTAATCACAGATGTAATTAAAATACTTTGGAGAAGATATTTAATCCGAACGTAAACCGCCATGAAACTGTTTATCATTTGTTTTTCTGGTAACGTTCGTCTTAACGTAGGGGGGCAGACACATCAATAGAACAGCGCGCCAGTTAGCCCTGTGCGAGGATTCTTAATTTAGGTCACCGACACCGTTGTTTATTTTCTGCCTTAAATTAATCGTAATTATCCTTAGAAAGTATTAAATTTGGCATCTTAGAAAAGAAATACAGTTCGCTCTACCACCATGTATAGTGTAATAAAACACACTTTCTCCCTGAACTATTATAGTTAAAGCATGAGGACGCTTGCGAAAAGTGTGTTTTATTACACTATACATGGTGGTAGAGCGAACTGTATTTCTTAAATATATTGTATCCTATCAAAGCATATAGGTAACAACATGTTAAGCCCCTTCAGGTCATTTTCAGATTTTAACATGGAAAACACTTTTTCATCACCTGACCCACAAAGAAAACCTCCCCTGTGTTATGTAGGACAAGTTTCAGAGGAACTTTCTTTTTTAAATAATCTTCTATTTTGATTTTTTTTTTTCTCAAAAGACCTGTGAAAATCTGGGTTAAATGTGATCTTCAGCAACCCCTGTTTCTCATAAGAGACGACAAACAGGGTTATTTTGACTGGCTTGCTGACTCTGTTTCCCAGTTGCACAGATGTCAGTCACTGGATTGTGTGGGCTACATTGGATAATTTGCAGACTACTGTGATATAAGATATGAATACACAGTGCCGTACCGTGATATAGCTACAAAATGCTGATTGTGTCTCTTAACAAGAAACAAATGTACTGGTAAAGCCCTGATGAGCTTCTTCATGTCAGGTTTAGTTTTGAACATAGAAAACATTTTGTCATCAAGGCATCTTGTCACCATGAAAACTTCCCCACTATAATATAGGGCAAGTGTCAGAGAAACTTTCTTTACGAAATCACATACAATGTTCAGTTCATTCTTGTGAACATGGAAGCTTTAGCTCCATTTCAGTTATATTTAGTTCTTGATAATGTAAACAATTGTGTATTTTGATGAAGATTATGACCAATCCCTATTGACATGTTTCAACAGGAACAGTACTAGTATTGGTGTATACTCAATATGAGCTCCGTTGGGTGATTCAAGATGTTAGTTGTTACTGGATACATTGTCCTGTATACATCCTCAAATACTTGTCCTATTAGGCCGCCTCCGTGGTGTAGTGGTTAGAGCGTCCTCCCGGAGAGCAGAAGGTCGCGGGTTCGATCCCCGACCGCGTCATACCAAAAGACGTTAAAATATGGTACTTGTTGGTCCCTGTCTGGCGCTCGGCATTAATGGTTACAACAAGGACTGGTTGGCTCGGAGTCAGTATAATGTGTCTGAGTGGGGTATTCATGCTTCACTGCGGCATGGTATCTCAGTGGGCTAGCACTATAAAACCAGCTTCAGTCTGGGCTAGTACAAGCAGCCGCACATGCACATCGTCATATGAGCGAAATATTCTCAAGCACGACGTTAAACCCAATTTTACCTCACCACCTCACTTGTCCTATAGAATATGAGGGCAGATCCCCATATAGTACTTATTATTGTTGGGAATCATGTTTTCCAAGTGATTAATGACAGTTTATTAACCTTTCAGTACATACAAATGTTTCCAATTCAACAGATATGTCAACTTTATTTCTGCAACACACACTTTCACAAGAACATAACACATCATTATATAAAACTCATTTTTATTAGCCTGAAATATATGTACAGCGGTTGACTCAGTTCACAATATAGTGCAAGCAACTTCAAACGAACAAGACTAAGCTACCAAAGCTATGTACATTCATGGTGTAATACTGCCATTGCAAGATGCTCCGAACGTGATACAGCACTTCGGATTACCCTCTCCACATCCCAGCGTGTACATCCACAGCAGCTGGTTAACACTGATTTCAAGCTAGGACTTATAGCTAATAGAGATGTCTCATTTGTATGCCAACGTTACGACTAGTTTCATAAGCTGATAAATGTTTCACTTATCAAGTTTAGTTATACCAGACCAGTCTCATTACCAAAATTTACACAAATAAGAGTAATTACTTTGTTTTCAAGAAGACTTGGTATTTGGCACAAGGCAGTCATAAGTCAAAAAACATTTAAAATATGTTTAAGAAGGGCAATTTTTGTCCTTGATCATTCACAAAGAAATGAGGAAACCAGCTGACATAAATGTACAATAACATGGCCAAAGTCAGTGTTTTCACATTTAGTCTAACTATGCAAAATGTTTCCACTGTGACCTCACAAAATTAATACTGAAAGGTTTGGTGTCCTTTGTTACACTTGTAACAATGAACATGATTTCAGGGATGGCAATTTTACGCTGACCCACAGATCTCCGCTGATTTTATTTAAACTTGTGAATCGTCTAAATCCATTGAGAAACCCTCAACTCGATGACACAATATTAAGTTTTCAGCTGAAAATAGATTTTCCTGTTGCCATCCCTGTGATTTAAAACTATACAGTGTTCAGAAGTAGCAGCGAAGGTGCCGCTTCCCTAAAACTAATGTTAAATGTTGAATATTCAGGAGGATTCTAGATTCAAATGACGCAGAAGATCTCAAGGGCCAATAGAACCTCCCTAGTTTAAACCCCTTTACTTCCATCTGTTTGAATTACTTCCATCTGTTTGAATTATACAAATCTTGCATTGTAATCCTTTAAATACTGGTATGACAATATTTAAAATAAGACTACCTCTCACTACAGACTAGCACTTCTCAGTTGGGTGTATGACCATGCATAGAAGTTGAGTCTCGGTGACGCATAGAGAGTTACTGATATCAACTTGCATAGGTAATTGTTCACACAGCTTCGAAAAAGGATTGAAATTAGATTGTCTTTAAAAGACCTTGACGATGGATAATGTGCCTTTAAAAGACCTTGACTTCTAACCAATCCCTGACTTGAATGAACTACCTAAGTTGAAATGTATTTTTTTTAATAGAAATCAATTTTAGTTCCTTTGTGCGGCCTTGAATATTGAAGGGGCCTTGAAAATAACTTGAATTTTGTTCCTTAAATTCTACATAAACCCAGGAGGTTTAAAAAAAATAATTAAATTGTGCAAATGCCCTTTGATGACTGCTCTATACATCAGCGTGAAAGTACATTGAAATTAATAACTGACAATACTGGCTTGATTCTTCACTGGAAGCAAAGACTGCCTGTAAGACAACTGTTTCACACTCCCATAGTCATCAGACGAGCCTTCATTCGGTACCTAGCTGCCACTGAAAATACAAAGTACAAATGTAGTCTTGGTTATTTTTATGCTGAAATATCCTGAAGTCACCATCGTGATTACTACTCAATGGGGGAGGCATTGTCTTAAGACATGGGTTATTTCTGATGGAATATTCATTTTATATCTGACGATTCAGTCCTGAATTAAGATCACAGTTAACATGAATTACAGTAATATTTGTTAGCTTGAACAGTCAGCTTTGATATACTACAAGGGAATATCATGACTGTTAAGAGGAGAGGTATGTGTATTAAAGAGGTAGATATAGCTCAACATATTGGACAATACATTACAATAATTCCATGCAAAGAGCTTTATGGCATTTCTGATACTGACTCAACCAATCAAAACTGTTACCCGTAACCAAAAGAACTTGCACAGGCCCTGTTCCTCTAACAATCTTAGCAATACGAAAATATGAGTTACTATCTCCTTAGCATTAATATGGTTTTGTGAAACAGGGCTCTGTTCTCTTTTACAAAAAAGTCAAGAATTTATGAATTTGAATTCAACAAACGTTATCCTAAGAAGAGACTTTTCAACCACAAGGAGATATGAGAATTAAAGAATTATTTATGTTCAAAACAAAAGTTTTAATATTCCAGCCACATAGCTGAAAAACAATGACAAATAGACTGACAACTAAGATAAAACTACTTTATCTGTACAACAAATGCATCTTTCTACCAACACTACCCTGACTACCACAACACTACACACAAAATCAGCTGTTGTAGTGGGTAACGCTGCCACTAGATGGCAGTGTACTCAACCAAAGGGAGGTAATCACCTGAATTAGTAACGTATAGTGAACCTCGGGTTTCGACCAGCTAGGGATTCACCAGATACTCCAAGCCAACGACTTCGACCTCCGAAATCATATTTAGAGGAAACTGAGGGAAACAGGTTAGCAGGTTAGAGAGGAAGGGGACTGGCAATGATTGTGTAGATATCACGCCCGAAAGAGCTGTGAGCTGCTGGAAACACTATATTTCTGGATATGATTTTAGTCTGGTTTAAGAATAGCAAACTGGTTTTATAAAACATTTTGTAATTTTGAGAATAGGTACGAACCCATAAAACCCATAACTTACAGATATAACTATAAAACATTACTGAAAGTGTTTCGAAGTATTCTCTTTTGAATTTGATCGAGGCTTGTATGAGTCAGTATGTGATCTGTGTCGTTCAAAGACTGGACTGTAATTTGACATATTTGGACATCATCGTTAAAGGTCCCCAGAGACATATGTGGTATCTACACAATCATTTTCTTTGAATGCTGTGGTCAAGTCAAAAATTTTCAACACAAAATCTACTGCTGTCGTTACTGCAACGTTATTGGAAGACATAGCTCCATGTGTATGTTGTGTACCTAAGTCCTATTGGCTAAAGAGCTTGACTACAGCAGTCAAACAGTAATTCATCATATAGTTTGGAAGGATGCACAAACACAATCAGTAACAGCAATGTGTCCACACTGTAACATCATAAATGTATTCAATATGACACACAACAAACAGGTATAATGGGTTATATTCAACACGGGGGTAGTGGTTAAGTGACTTACTCAGAACAACTTGTAGATGATACAAAGCTACATCTATCTACCTTGAAATAATCTGCATATATTGTAAACCTTTTTAAGTGAAAATGAAGGGAGATAACTCTAGTTGATGAGAGCAAATAGCAGTTCAAGATCATTGTTTCCATTTTCAAGATCCAAGATCAGGATTGTATTGTCCCGCCTTTGATAGATTTCTTCTTCCCAATATCACTTTCGCAATGATAGGCAACAAATGAGTGATTCATTATATCTTTTTCATATTAATTTCGATCCTGGTAAACTAACATAAAACGGGTCACCGTTGTGTGACAGTGCTGGGGTACAAGTGCAGTGCTGGGTTTCAATCGTGCCTTGCTCACCTGGTTGAGACAGACTATAGTTTATCAGAGGCTGTGGAATGATATCAGACATAAATCTCCACTCTCTTACCTCTAGATACAATATGAGTGTGAGAGGGTTAAACGTGATGGTTAACAAAGGCACTGATAGTTTTCAACTGCCTCTTGTATAATCTGCATGAGTTCAGGGTTCAAATCTTACAATAATGCTGTTATGATAGGAAAATGTCTTGAACATGATCATTTTTCTGATATCAGTGCTTTATGCAGGACAGACGCTGTGACTTACATTGAAGGATTTCATATAACATCTTATATTCATGTGCAGCTATATATATGATGATGGTTGTATCAGACTCAACAAACATTGATACTTGCAACAGGAACAGCCAGGACGGTACAGGACAAGTTCACACTAGTACACTGACAGACAGACAATATACACCCTGCATATCATATACATGTATATGTCAGGGTAGAGACTGCGATCTGGTTGAATCAGAGATTCTACCAGTAGAGATTGCGATCGGAGTCTCTACCAGTAGAGACTGCGATCAGAGTCTCTACTGGTAGAATCTCCGATCCTACTAGTAGAGATTGTAATCGTAGTCTCTACTGGTTGAATATATATAGGAGTATTGATGTGCCAGTCTGAGTATAGGCCTAGTTATCTCCCCTGATCAGAAACAATATGAACACATTTTTGTTTTAATGTGTAATATGATCATCTGTTTCACTGTATAAGATTCCCTGCCCCAACCATGCCCTGTGTAAGATCTAAACCAATTTGAATGTGGAATATTTATTTATAAGGGGAACTTTCCAAAGCTCCCAGGGCACTTCATACATTATATTTACCTAGGTATATTCTCAGATGTAGCATAGTAAGATATATATAAAGAGGTATAAATGCAGCATTTAATAAATATGAGAAGCAGTGTAAGACACACATCCACTGAACATGTACTGATCTACTTTAAACACATTTTGATGGTGATTTATAAAACCAGAGTTTCATTTCACTGTATGACACTATACTTATGTTGACACCATTTGAAAACACAATTTTCTGGTTGTCTCCTATGCATGAAATAGTTGTCAGGGAAAACAGTCAAATCCGGCTGATAGTTTAAACTTGGACTGACAGTTAACTGTAGAATTATTTGTTTGTGTTTTCATTTTTCATACTGTTTCTGTTTTAAATCATTAAATGTCATAAATTCTTTCTGAAATGTGAGACTGGGGGCAAATATTTGTAGATTGCACTGGTTTAAAACAAACAGATCCAGGCATCTTTGCACATTAACTTTCAACTTTTGTGATTCACAGTGGGGACTTGGGCACACAGCAATAATAGGGAGCAGGGCATTATGTTGTGAAGCAGGAATAAATAAATCTAATAACAGACTTAGTATGGCGAAATAATCTGTTATCTGATGTTCCAACCTTAGAAACGACAGTTATTATACAGCATGAAGGGTAAGTCTGAAGCTAGTTATCTAGGTTGCTGGTTTCATGGATCTATGGTTAGTGAGGTAGCTGGGTAAGTTACATACAAGTTAGCCTGAGTATGTTTGAGAGATTCTCACTTCACATCAAGATTGCTGTATTCTACTTGTGCATTCACGGAATGATTTCTCTCTCCCATAAGCTGCAATAGAGACGCTTGCTAGGTGACATGAACACAATAATAGGGTGTAAACTTTAAAATACCTTTAAGTAAAATCATATTATGTATATACAACAGACTATGTGTAAAAAAGAACTAGCAACGTCAACATTGACATTCCTTGTGAAGAAGTTTTGTCAATTTGTGAAGAAAATTTCATTATATAATATGCTCATTAACATCCTCAAAAATTACTTGAATTATTACTATTACATCCTAGTTAAGAACATATGGTGTGGCAATGTGAATCTGTGACACAATTACTTGTAGACAACAGCAATACACAAACAACAAAACAAACAACAAAACAACTGTGGACAGATGACGCTGATAATAAAACCAGAGCACACTTGAACAATTCAACACAACATATGTTATAAAAGTGTAGCCTTGAATTAGCTTTCTATAACCTCATATTTTAAATTATAACCACAAAGATACTTGTATTGTATATTGTGTATACTGAGTCAGTGACAGCCATTACTCTGCAGATGAAGGGAGAGAACTCTAAGAATCATATGAAAAGTTCCAGTTTAGATTCAGCCATTACTCTGCAGATGAAGGGAGAGAACTCTAAGAATCATGAAAAGTTCCAGTTTAGATTTTGTGAAAATTATGCAAATGCACTTTAGGGGTAGCTGAAGTTTATAATTTATTGAATTAACAAACTGTAGCTGTTGTGAAAATACCTGATAAAAAAATCAAGCTTGGAAATCATTTGAAACTGTTACTCAAATAGCCAATCTTCAAACCTCACACCTGGCACTGCGTACATCAAGTACATATATACTTACAGTTGATTGGTTTGGGTTCATTGTACCAGTACTTGAAGTTTTGTTTTGCCCGTTCGTTGAAGCTGGAGGTGAGGTCTGGCTTCCTGTTGAATGACCGCTTTGCAATACGAGGAGACAGGTACATGGAGAGGTCCGGGGGACTAAGGACTTCCTCGGGGGGATAAAAGAAGTTCTCCTCCGTCTTTACAGTTCCTGTTAACATGCAAATAAAGAATTACCATGTTTCTATCAAAACAAACAACCATTAAGTGTAAAAAGTTAAACTTATTTTTCCTTTATGGGAATTTTTAATGAAACATACATTTGATTTGGTAAAGAGACATCTTTCCTGTTTCATCTCATCTCCTTTCTATTGTGACAAATACCCTGGACCCGTTCACCGCCAGATTCTTGTTTCTGAATCAACATCAGCATCCTTCAATTTCCATCTCTGACATGGCACAGAGTGTCTCATGCTCATAAGTTATTTCTTTGGCCAGATATTTTGAGCATTTTGTTATTCAAATCCAGCTCAAAATGAAGCTACTATAGCAGATGGGTCGAGGGTATTCATTAAAACAGAACCAAGATACAACAGCCTGACAATCAAGGACTGAATGAAGTGCTGTTAATCTACTGTGGCTGATGTGTCTAGAAATAGAAAGTCCATACTTTTGTCTCTAGGTCTCACTCCCCTTGTCGCATCTATGTCCGTGGATTGTGTAAGCATTTATAAACAGAACACATGCATTCAGTGGAGGAACACGACACACATCACATGCCTAGTCCACGTATAAACACAGACATAGCTACTGTTGAAACTTTTTTATAATAAACCTTTTTCCTTTGAGAATGTTAAACTTGCTAGAATTATTAGAATGATAAATGTATTGGTTTGAATATTTTGAGTAAATATTGGTATTTTAATGTCTGATTTGGTTTGAAAACTGAAAGTGTGAAAATTCATTCCGTACCATCAATGAAGACAAGATGGCTGCCTCCATTGTTGATACAAGACCTGACGTGACGCCAGGGACTGCCAAGTCGGCCAGAGCGGTAGCTGGAATAATGCAATATTCAACCTTTAGACAGAAACCCAAAACCTGGTTTATGTATGCAAGAATAAATGTTTGAGGACTACATTTCTCAAAATACATATATTTACTTTTTTTCAAAATACATATATTTACTTTTTCAGTGTTTTGATGAAGTACATATTTACAAGCATTACATCTTACATGCATATTATAAAAGATTTAATAAAAACTAAAATTAGTATTACTAATAAATAAATGAGGAAATCAAATTTTATGTTCAAAATGTTTTAAAATGCAAGGCATGCAGCCTTTCATGTTTAACTATATTTTTCTAAAACACTGCAGAATGCAACTGTCAAGAGAAATATGCCTGTTTGCTGGGACTATGTTAAAGTGATATTTTTCATGAAAAAAGGAAGACGTTGCATATTTACTACTGAAATAAAATTAAATAATCTGATTCTTTCATGTTACTATTTTTTTAATAGTCTGACACTTTTTTCTGTCTGGTGTTCCTTGGGTACTTTAAAATTTAATCTAATAAGTAACATATGATTAGCATGGTAATAATACATGGGCTTCTTGGGAGATGGGAGGTTCATCTTCCACTGTCGGTAGTAGTACTGCTGGTTGACGGGATCCATGGGCCCAGTGAAGGGGTTGTTGTCGTCATGGATACCCATGGGCGGCATATCAGCCTGGAAGAAAATAATGTTCATCATTAAGTATGATATTAAACAGTTATTATCTTTCTTACTTTTGCAAAATTAATTTCAAATTGTTTACTTTATACACTTGAAATTCTTTGTAAAGGGATGAAATATTATTGCATGTTGACATAGTAGGTTCCTTCAGAATTTAAATTGTTTATTTTATTTAGTTTTATGTTGCCTTACATAGGACAAGAAGGATCATATACTGTACAACTGTTATGGAATACAGGTCTGTACCCTTGATAATGGAAGACGACCACACACTACTGACTACACAGCTTTGTACAAGTAAAGGCACACATCACCTTCAGAGCCATTCAAAAGTTTGATGTCAGATAATGATTTTAAAAGGAAAAACTTTAAACCATTAAATAGTGTCATTACCCCATACATCTGGGAAATCTTTTACCAATGCTGACACAATAAAGAAGGCTTTTGAACTGGCGTTTGCTTTTATATATTTCATATAACTGTACCAACAATAGTGATGCTGTTCATGTTCAGAGAAAATGTAATACAACTTTGGTTGTTGTCGAATCAATGTGTAAATTTGTTACTCTTAGCAGTTTTATGTCTTAATGCTCTTCCAACTTCTATATGACAATCAAAGACATGTTCACTTTTGTAGCACCTCTGATATCAAGACCCACCTAATAATCCACCCCAAGGAATTAAGATTTGGTTTTTTTACTTCAAACTTTTGAACTGCTTGCAAGGACTATGACTACTGGTACACACGCACTCAGTGACATTTATCAGTATGGCAATTAAAGAAAAACAGAACCAGTTAATCATGAAATAAAACCGGTTTGAACAGGTAAATTGTTACATCATTGACAACCCTTAGAAAACAAGACAAAGAAGTGTTTTTTCAACTATTGATTGAAGACTCTGTGTTGAAATTGATTGAGATGGAAAACTATTTTTTGTAGATAAACAAACTTTGACAAACAACACAAATCATTTTATCATCATCATCATGTGGCCACATGGAGAAACTGACAACGGATTTACCAGTTCTACAAATATACCCCCCATTCCTGGTGTCCCCCGCTGTGATATTCCTGGAATATTGCTAAAAGCAGAGTAAAACCAAACTCACTCACTCACTCACTAAAATGTACATGTTTTGGTCAAGTTTCAACACTGAACCAGTTTTCTGACACACCATAACTACTTTGGTAGATATATCTGTTGAAGTTACACACAAGTCATAATGAAATATCTAGATTTGTTATAGACATAGACTTCCGATGACATGAGGCTGTGTGATCACTGTTGAACAATTATTTATGGGAGCCATTGATTACCAAGACCTAGCTAGCTATTCTCGAAACGTTCGTAGATCTAAGAACTTCTTAAGACCATTCTTAACACATTGGCTACGATCAAAGTTAAGAATTCTTAGGGCTACGAACGTTTCGAGAATAAGGGCCCTGGTATCGTGAAGTGCGTTATTGTGAGGGATGACTGCATATTGTTCAGATACTGATTGGATGAAATTGTGTACAGTTATTTAAGAATTTAAAATTGTATTATATATGACTGTAGAATATTACAAATGTTATACATTGAATAAGAAAACCCTGAAGCAAGACACCTGCTGCAGTTTCATCCATTCACAATGTTTACTCTGATAAATACATCCTCTAACATCCAGTGTATAATATCTCCACTCTATAATGATATATATTCTATAATAATATATAGCCCAGACTGATTTGCCTCCGTGGTGTAAGACTGATTGAGTTTAAATGCTTTTAGAATGGAGTGAGTGAGTGAGTGAGTATGGTTTTACGCCGCTTTTAGCAATATTCCAGCAATATCACGGCGGGGGACACCAGAAATGGGCTTCACACATTGTACCCATGTGGGATTCGAACCTGGGTCTTCGACGTGACGAGCGGACGCTTTAACCACTAGGCTACCCCACCGCCCCCTTTTAGAATGGAGATTTAATACACTGGATCAACGATGATGTGATAAATGTTGCAGGCTATTACATTACTCATTGAGGCTGAAGAACACCCAGTTTATTCATGTGACTGCCATATTCACCACAGTCCCATAAAACATGGATGTTCTTGAACTGGTTTTGAGTAGTACATATACAAATAACCAATGAAAATACAGCAATTTACTATAACGAAGTCTCTGACAAGTTATACTGAGCAACAAGAGTCCACTATCTAATGCCATGCTCTATACGTTCTAGGGTATCTATAGCACACTCTATAACTCTAAACACGCAGCTGCAGACAGTCATATACAGTGTTCAACACTAGAAAATACACTTCTCTTTTTCAAAGTGTCTTCATCTGTGAAAAAAAGTAATTTGCTTGAGAGATATGGGTGACACCAGAACTCCTCAAATTAGAACATTACAATTAGGGAAATAAAGTCTGACATGAGAACAGATAATTAAAGAGTTGATTCTTGGTGGTGTAACCTTTAAATGTTCAGGACAAACAGATCATCATCTTACGTTACTCATTTTTTAATTTAGTTTGCCATGATGACTATGGCTCAAAACACAGCAGAAATGGAGCTAGTTTAAAACTCAAAGAATATACTGTCATTCAAATTAAAATGTAAGTATTGATTCGTCCTGAATGAACTAATAAAAGAATTGTACAAAACTATGAAGATGTTAAAATAACCATATTTACTTTTTTATACTTTAGCCAAATATAGGAAATATATATATGTAAAAACACATCATATGTGGTTTGAATAGTATTTTAAACAGAAACTGGTTTAGTCAACAGCCCATGCCTATTTACGTATGTCCTGGCCTAATATGATTAAGGAAATGATTTTATTTGTTGTTTAACAAAGCACTCAGCAATATTCCAGCTATATTGCGAGCTTAAGGAAATGAAAGTCCTTGTTACTAAGTTTCTCATTGAAAGACAAGCCTGATTAGTAATGTCAGTGGGTTCTGAATCTCGACACCAACCATGACTAGCTTCCTGATCTTGGGTGTTAAATCTTATCAAACATTTACCCTAATCACTAATCAATGATTTATATATAGCCAGATCAGCAAAGGGAATCATTCAGTTAGCAGTGTGTAGTCATCTGTCCTCAGTTCCTTCAGTACAGGTGTGTTTGGTGTATGGTATGCATGTATGGATGGGTCTATTGAAGAACACTTGGTTGTCTTGTTAATGGCTGTGTGCTTAGGGTTGGCAGATGCTTAAGGCTTGTTGACATAATTTAATGTTTTTCATTATCCACCTTTCCAAAGATTTTTTTCTACCCTTATGCTGCACATTACTGTCATAGTGATACGTTTACTGTTATGTACACCTGGTCAAGTTTTACCTGTATATTCAGGTGAGAAGCAAACATTCATGGATAATTCTATATTTTTGGGGTTTTAAAATAAAACATGTCAAATTTAGTATTTTTTGTGCAGTGATAGTTACCCAAACAGAATAGCCACAGTTATTTAAATATATTGTTTTTGAAACATAAATTCGTCATGAAAAAAAAATAGATAAAGAATGAAAATTGATTTGTCTCCCATATATATCTTGTGCATATTCCACCAGATTTTGATCTATGCCCAATTCACCCAGTAAAGGTTAAACCAACTCACCTGTATACCTACATCAAATGAGGAGGATCTGGCGGAGAGGGACCCCCTGGTGCGAGGGCGGGGTTTGTGGCCACCTGGTGATGAGGCACCATACCTGGCTGTCTGACTACCGGCTAAGGGATGGATGGTTCCCATACGCCCAAAGTAATCCTCAACTGGCATACTGAAGAAAGGAAGAATTATGTTATGACTGAAGGGAAACTACTTGGACATAACTGTGACAGGGTGTTCACCCCACTTGGTCACATAACTTTGTTTCTTTTGACACTAAAATCCAGGACATGTTGAAAATATGACAGGCATACCCAAGTGTTTTAATGGACAACTAAACACACAATCAATGGCGATATGGAGGTAACACTCAGTTTTTCAAGAACTCTCCGAATGATGATGCATACAATCCTATGTCTTTGCCCCTTAAACTTTAACAGTGGAGGGTTCTAAAACCTTTCTCACTAACCATGCTGACATATTTTGAAGGATAAGCTCTTGATCATTCAACCAAGGTAACCATGGTAACTGGTCATCATGTAGTGGTATAACTAGTTTCTAGGAACTTAAATACCAATCAACACATTAATCAAAAACTCATTGAACACTGAGTCTTTCCTGTTTCAGTTAATGTGTCATCCCTGACAATGGCAGCAGCTCTGTACATGGGCTTCAAGTTACATAGATTTCAATAGTTATAGCAGAGAGGTCATGTGTTGATTAATGAGTGACAAATGTATAAACAGGATATTCATAAAATTGATCTGTACTGTCCAATAAGCCTGGACTTTGCTCGGCTGATATGTGCATATCTTCAAGATGAATCGAATCCATAACATATACCATATATGAAATAAAACTGAAAATATACAAAATGAATAATGCAACTAAACCTTTACATGTTTTATCAAATGTGTACCTTAATAATGATAGACATGACACAAAACCTTCTTAGACAGTGATATCCCTGAAATTTGCACATCAAATATGTTTAGAACTGAGCCACTCTACAAACCTGCCTTTCTTCGACATGTTGGAGATGGGTCTCAGCAGGTGAACCAGGAACTTATCACACTACTTGTACTTAGTACAAAAGGGAAGTCACTGAGGAAACTCCTTGCAGGGTTCTAATTAGCGTCAACGTTTTGCTTGGAAGGTTTTCTATATCGCTAATCAATTTATACATAGGTAATCAGCTACTGATCAATGCCATGTGGCTTGTGTTCACGCCTCCTTAACTTCTATCAGGATTAAGTGGTTAAATTACAAGCTTCATGAAAACATGTCATGATATATTGTTTCAAAAGTACATTTATTTCATAAATTACAAAAATAAATAACAGCTATTTCATATTTATATTTACTTGCATACCTATTTTGAGCCAGCCATTAGGCTTTTGATTGTTTTTGATTGGCCCCCAAATCAATTATAAATACTCATATGATGTCATCACCATATTGTCCAGGTGATCACAATAGGAATCATAATGTTGCATATATACATCCATTTATACATGATTTCATATGGTTATGAAAATACATTCACATCATGTTTAATTCTTCTCATGACACTTCTTATGCTAATATTAATATGAATACACAACCACTTATATTATGTTTAAATATGATTTTGTGATATTTTTTCCAACAATTTGATTGCACCTACTGCTCAGTTTGTTGACATGTGCTTTCTTAACCTCAACTGTCAATATTGATTTACAACCAGTTTGACAAGTTGATTTGTGTAGAGCAAAGTCTACCGGTACTTTGAGAAAAATCAAACAGACAATATCTTATGTTTCTCAATCAATAAATCCCCACTGAAGCACCTCCGAGAGATAGGTGAATCTATCATGGAGATAATAAGTACAAGTAGATAGACATGTGGTTACCTTGGCACCAGTCGGAGTGAAAACAATTTACAGTTTGTTGTATAATATGTATAACGCCATTAGGGTATGATGACACAGTCAACCCAGTCATCAAGCCTCACAACCCTTGATATCAGTGAAGGTAGCTTAGGACCAGTTACAACATGGATGTTTGGATTGTTGTTTAACGCCGCACTCAGCAATATTCCAGCTATATGGCAACGGTCTGTAAATAATCGAGTCTGGACCAGATAATTTAGTGATCAACAGCATGAGCATTGATCTATGCAATCGGGATATGATGACATGTGTCAACCAAGTCAGTGAGTCTGACCATCCGATCCCGTTAGTCGCCTTTTACAACAAGCATGGGTTGCTGAAGACCAATTCTAAACCATATTTTCATGGGTTTACAACATGGAATCGGTTGGTTCAACTTGTTTCTTAGAATATCCAGTGGATATATTTTATGTATCACACGTAGGTAACAACAGCTACAACAATGTGGTAAAACACTACCACAACATATGGCTACATATGCTTGTTTCTATGTGTATAAAGATGACACGCTCACCAACATTAATGCTACATCACAGCAACTGCGAAATGAATCCAGTCTCGACCAGCTAAACCAGTGATTGATGTTATAAACAACAGCATAACGCTTCTATCACACATAATTGGTTAGTACAAATCAACAACATAATTATCACATTCACATAATCTGAAAATATAAAAACACATTACAACTTTAATACAAGTGCAACAAGTGTTATTTGGCATATGTGATAAACAGAAAACATGCACATGCATTATGTAGGTGTATGACAGTCAAAGGTGGATCCAGGGGGGGTTGTCCTGAAAGTTTCTTAAATGACCATTGAAACTCTCGTGAAAATGAAGTGTGCACCTCCCATTTCTCAAAAGTGTGCACCCCCCACCCCTTTCTCAAAAAGCTGTATCCGCCCCTGTTAATATGTGTTTGATATATCCCTGTTATCTGCTAATATCTGTACAAGATCACTGCATGATACAAATATCAGCAGTTGGGGTATGAGACCATGCTGTCCACCAAATCACTGAGCCTGACCATGCGTTTCTGAGGACCTATCCTAATCCAGATTTCCACAGGGATATGAGGCACAAAAGCAGTTTAAAACATAATGATATAACTATCACCATGGTTACACTAATGGCCGTATCACTAATACTGTTTTCTTGGGATTTGAACTCTGACAGTATGGCAACACTGTTTCTCCATACAAGTTGTACAATACAGTTTCCAGATAAAGGATTATGAGAAAACTGTGGTATCATGATCTGTGTATGAGAATATTAACTGATAACACATGAATATGGTATAAGTGTGAAACATGCAGCTTAAGACATGGATGCCAGTACAGAGAAACCTCATTAGCCCTGACAAGTACTGTTGTGAAATATCATTACATAACAATCCATTGCTACATTAATCCAGAAATTCAGCAATTCGGATGATTTCACTTTCAACAGCATTGTCTGGAATAAGAAGGTTTTACTGTACATGTATACTCGGTGATGTATGTCCATATGTTTTGTACACAAAGTTATACCCAACATGTGAAACCCATATATAATGACCTGACCATTGTATGTTCTGGAGGTGGAGGGTCAGAAGTTTTGTTACAGTTTGTTCAGTTTCTGCTTCAAACAAAACAATTGTACCTATCTCAAAGGAAAAGCCACAAAAAGATTTTTGTCTCTTACAACTGATTTGGAAAGAAATTACATCTAGTTCATCCAATGAAGATTTTTCATGAAATAATAAACCCTCAGGCCCCCTAGAACATCAAATGGTTTGTCCCTATCACATGCAAACATACATAAAAGGTGGACACATCAAACTTGGTGCTGAAAGTGAGGACAAAGGGAGACAATTACTCAGGTTTGGAGGCAGTGGGGATTTCTGGGAGTGGCTCAATGGTTCCACCGCCTGGTTTCCTGTTCAAAAACAAAGTTGTCATGGTAATGTGTCATACCAAACTTGGAACCAATAATTATTGACAGTTGTGTCTTCCTAAACTTGCTGAAATAAAAATATTTTCCCTTAATCTGCCCCATATAAATTTTTATTTTGTAATCACTGTTAAGAAGGTTGCATAACAACTTTTAAAATTCAACTTTGATTTTGCACTTGATATTTAGTGTTTGCATTTGATATTTAGCATTTCTAGACCAAATGAGGTAACATGGTACATTACAATCATGTTTTGTTTGCTTATTCATTGACTTGTAACGAAACAATGAAATAAAGTAGTAATACCATTCTCCTAATGCAATCAATATCTGTATGTAATGGGTATTTTTAAAACAGGCATTTTAAGATCATTTAAACTGATAAAAAAGGCTTTTATGTTTTTAAATTTACATTAAAGTAATGCACAATTCAGGCCAACAATGTGTTCAGCAATTTGCCTGAATAATCATTACAGAACATGAAACATAATAAATTGAAGTCCAACATGTGAGACGTTGATGAGTACATAAGATGTCGTTAAAGTAGATTAAAATCAGTGTGGGTGGAGCCCCTTTATTGACCTGAAATGACCTTTGACGGTAAGAGGCTACTATAGCAGGTAGTATATAAATACTTAGCCCCAAAAGACAGTACCCTTACATACCGTAGTTGGTTTTCTGGTTGGTTGGCAGGTACAAGATCATAAGTCAAGACCATTTAGTACCTGTTTCAGAAATGTTTATCCCTCAATTTTGTGAGTGAGTGAGTATGGTTTTACGCCACTTATAGCAATATTCCAGCAATATCACAACAGGAGACACCAGAAATGGGTTTCACACATTGTACCCATGTGGGAATCGAACTTGGGTCTTCAGCATGACGAGCGAATGCTTTCACCACTAGGCTACCCCACCGCCCCTTAATTTTATGAAGGCAGGAATACATTAAGCAGGAATAATAATAATAGTTTAAATTATAAAAAGAATCAATGACTTAATTTAAGCATGTTTTGTGTTTACTAACAATATTTATATGTATATTACAGTCATAAACCTTTTTGAGGCAACAACATTTTTATCTAAATTTAAAAAAGAAAATAAATTAGAGAGAAGTACATATTATTGTCAATGTGGACTTTGTGAGATTTCTTGATGTCTAGCTATCACTGTGTAGATACAGCTTTGATGACAGTGAGGTATGGACCAAGTTACCCGAAACAAGGATATTGTATTCACCACAAAGCACTGAAGACAACTCATCATTCAGGCCTACTCATGTCAAACATCGGTATTCTGAAAGTGATATAAAATAATCTTGGAAAAGGGTTTTATAAGCTTCTGCTACTTGATGAATAAATTATGACTCTAGCATGAAGTAATGTCTTCATAGGGGTGATAACAGTTGTGCTAGGGGGTATGTTGTAGGCGTTGTTTGTTTATGTATGTTGTTGAACCCAAACCATTAACAGTGACACAGGACATCTTGTTACAGTCATGTACAATAATGGCTGTAAAATGAGTCCTTAAGGCCACCCCTACTTAGTTTATTGCTTTACATATCATTATGTTTAAATCATGGTTGGTAGCTGGACAAGGGAAATTATGAAAGAGGCTTTTCAGAATATAGATCTCGCTCTTGAAAATATGATCTCAACAACTTATTTATCAACTTCAGTAGCTAAGCTTGTTGTGCTTGTTTGGCATGACATGGCACGGTGTAAGCATTTTTAGTATATCTTGGCTGCTAGTTATAGTGAAATTATTTTGTTTTTCAAACACATTTTTTCACTTCCAAGCTCAAATCTATCTACTTTGATGAACTGACAAACACCAAAAGCTATGAAAGATTCAGATATTGTCTCTATGTTGTATTAAAACCATACTTTTATAGTCATGGCAAGCTTTTGGTAAAGTAGACAATAAGGGAGGCAACTCTAACATTGACCAGACATCTCACCCTATCACCAGCAGTTAGTTCTAGAAAAAACAAACATTATGCTATGAATGTATATGTAGCAACAAAAGAAAATAATAATAAAAGTGGAGGCCCAAACCATGTTTAATTTCAGAGTTGAAGCAATGTAGGCTTCCCAAACGATTCTAGGCTTGAATTGGAAATCTTTTATACATATTCTCTAACGTATCCGAGTGTTGTACATGCATGGTGTCTGACTCCAATGTTGGATCATCAGTTGATACTCTTTGAGAAAAAGATTTTTGTAACACGATAAATGCCAGCTTGTATTTATAATGTATGTTCAAGCATTCATGTGCATAGTACAATCAATACTGTTTTTTCTTCAAGTGCTTGTAACCCATGGTTGTATGAAGTGCGTTCAATACCATACCATTCTCCATGTGCATGTACGATCATATCAAAAACATTGGCACAAAGTGTTTGGTTAATGGATCCAAACAAATGGAGTACAACCATTAGATAAATAACCAATTTCTTTTATTCATATTTGCTCAAGTGTTATATCTGAAGGATTAATAGAATACACATATAACAATAAAGATATAACAATTATAGGAAGAATTAACTTCAGATAATAATTGGTCCAATGCATTACATGTAGTGATGGGTCCCTGCGAACCTTCCACAGCAAAAGAAACAAAATACTGCACTTCAGTCATAGCATGTACTTGTTAGCACTGGGCGGGGTGGGGTAGCCTAATGGTTAAAGCGTCGGCTTGTCACGCTGATGACCCGGGTTCGAATCCCCACATGGGCACAATGTGTGAAGCCCATTTATGGTGTCCCCCGCCGTGATATTGCTGGAATATTGCTAAAAGCGGCGTAAAACCCAACTCACTCACTCACTCACTTGTTAGCACTAACTTTACAGTACTTTAGTATAAAGCATATTGAACTAAACAAATTTATTGACAAATCAATTTTGATTACTAAAGGTAATAGGTCAGGGAAACATGACAATGGTTATTGGTTAAACCATCTTTCATTATCATGATGAATACTCATTGTTTCAGAAGTGGTATCGCCATAACTGTCACCAGCTGTGGTCTCTTGCTTTTCCAACAATTTGATTGGATAGGTAGTTTAAGTGTTGTTTAATTCGGTTTAAACTGGTAATACTGGACAGAAGTAAATGCATTTGGTGTATTCATGAGGGTGCCAACCCCCTTTTGGTAAGCTATATTCTGAGCCCTGGTAAGTTCTCCAGATGCCAGTGTGCAGTTTACTTTATGCTATGGAATGTTTATCTAGATTGACAAAGCCAATATGTCAAGTTGAAATACATTTTTCATGTTTTTTCCTTGCTACCAGAGATAAGTTCATCAACGATTTATCTCTATTCATTCAATGTGAAAATTCCAGTCAAATATACTTGTACTGGCTATGTACACTGATCTGACTCCCAAACTATGCCACAAAGTAAAGTATGCCAGAGAAGGGGGCATTTAGGACAACTGAGACTAACTGAGCTTGATTAAATACCTTCAAATCAAATACATTTCTTTATACGATATTTATTTAAATGATATGTAATTGAAGGAACTATTTAATTAGTAATATTCATGGGGTAATGATGTAGTTGAGAAATACACAGATATAATGGTGATGGCCTTGCTTGATTCCAAATCTTATCTAAATATATGAATTATTCACAGCTTAAATAATTGTGCTGAAACTGAAGGGCACAAGATGAATTTATTTCCTTGGTGAAGTATTATCATACCATATCAACTGACAGTGTGTTATTAAAAATAGTTATACATTTTAGGTGTTTCTAGAAAAAAATACCATGAGATAAAATCATATAAAATTAAAAAGGAACCATTTATTACTAGCATCCACTTAATCTTGAAGTACAAATGATATAACTGAAAGTTGAACATTAATCTACACGACCATAAATCTCCCTTAACTTATAATAAACAAAACAGGATATAAAAGATCTTAATCCAACAAACAGTTCAATAAATCTCTCCATAAAACCATCCCATTTATCAAATGCTTTCAAAAGAGATTAATCCTCAAGTCGTAAAAACAGCCAGCTTCAACCCAACATTAATTGAAAAAATATTAAGGATCGTTAAATGTGTAACGTTTTTGCTTGAGTACATTTTATAGACGAGCAATGGACTTAGATTGCACATGAGAAATAACCTCCTTTGCAGGTCTCTTGGAGATCAATGAAATATGTAATAATATATGAGCTGAGGTGCAAATGGACTACATGATATCATGACTTATTCAATGTGCCATGCCAAGGACAATACCCCAACCCCTGCCGCCATACAAAGGTAACATACAGCGACTCTGTACGCCTCTACAGGTGAGCGTGCCCCGCTCTGTTCTGTACACCATGGGAGTTTCATGCTTGGAAGAAAGTCAATAGATAATCCCTGAGTTTTTGAATAGGGAGACATATGTATTTGATTTTATTGTAGGGTTCCATGATGAGAGGATAATGACTTCTCTCTGGAGGTGACAGCTGGTGTTGTTGAATAAAACCTTGGTGTGACCTCAGAACAAACCTTGGTAGTTATACAGATATTATTAGAGATTATTAGATTCAATTCTATAAATTACTGTCATGACAGAATCTCTTTTTAAATAAAATCAGTTTAATTTATGCTTTATTGCCATTATATTTATTTCCCACAATCATGATAGAAGTCAGACTTGTACAAGAGATGTACAGGTTTAATGCATACAAACAGTATATCTGTAAACTAATTATATAAACGACTTATCCTGTGTTTTCATAGAAAAAGCACAAAAAGACATTCCTCATTTTCCCAAATTATTCATCCTTATAAACAGAAAAAGATCAACATTAACCCATTCATGACCTATATCCACGTTTAAGGAAAGCATTATAACAATCAGGAACTAATTAACTAAGCATTCAGACATGAGTAGACGTGTATACATGTACTTTGTACTTGTAAGCAGTGCAGTTATAACATTTATTGTAGAAACCTTATATAAGAACCAAGAGTGAACCGGACATGATTTATTCACTGAAAGGAGGAACTAATTAATGTTCCTCAAATGTGTTCTGGTGTGCTAGATCATATGTCTGGCTACCATTTGAACAGTTCATGATGACTCCTATTACAGACAGAAAGTGTGTGCGTTATTAATTATGATGTGTTAATCTAGGCAGAAAACTTCTACCAGCCTTTCAAGTATAGTCTTCCTTTCACAAGAACAGTTTAGCCAATGATAACATTATATAAATTGTATACCCTACTAGAAAATATATAATAGGTAGGTACAACTATATCAGTATTAATACCCTGTAAACATTATACCATACAAGGAAATATATACTGTAGAGGAACATTTAAACCAATATTATTATGAATGATAAAAGCTACACTAATATAGGAACAGTTATACCAATAATATCACTGTTAATGAATACCCTGCAAGACAATCAACAGTTTACAGAACAGTTGAGCCAATTGTTGACTCTATATAAATGATAAGCCTACAAGAATGTACATAGTGTACCGGAATGATTAAAGAAATGTTTAGCCTTTCTAAATGATACACCCTCAAAGACAATCAATACCTTACAGAACAATTACAATAACATTAAATAAGTTATATACCCTACATGAGATTACATAGTGTGCAGGAATGATTAACCCAATGTTAAGACTTTCTAAATGATATGCCATACAAGAAAATAAATAATGTACTTACTCTGCGTACATGTCGTACATGGTCTTGGCACGTCGGAAGTCCTGCATGACTGCGGCTAGTTCTGTGACAAACCTTGGTTAAATCTCTACAAAATCCACAGCTGTTGCAAATGCAAGATCGTTGTTTTACAGACAACTCAAGCAGCTACACAGACTATACAGATTTAAAGTCACTGTTTGTCACTGAGCCATATCCAGTAATCAGAACACACCTGATATCCCCGAGTGCCGATAGCCTGACTGTGCCAGACCCTCAAGACCCTCTTGTTGTAGACACCTGATGATTTGTTGCTTGGCAACGGACAGGTGAGAGAAAGCAGGGGGCTACAGTGTGATGGCCATGTATCCCATAGTTTCATGAAATGTTTAAGAGGTATTAGTTCTGCCAGACTTTACACTTAGTTGACAAATTAGCTACACTGCCCTGTTACAGCATAAAATGTGATCAAAGCTCTCATTCCGCTTACTTACATACCTAATCAAGCGGTCTCACCTACCTTGATTACAGGTGAGAGTGTTACCTGCGACAAATTGTACCAATACCAACAGAGGTGTTGGAATGCAAGGAATGAGGACCCATGATAGCAAGGATGGACATTGGATAAATACAGAGTTTGATCTTGGAATACAATTACTCCACTTCATAGTAAATTGTTTTCCAGATTGTATTTATTGTATTTCTGGGTTTCTTATATTAGACTGAGTGATGTTAACATGGAGATATGGGAGATTTGGAGTGTGATGCTTTGTTTGTTTAGTTTGTCTTATGAGAAGTCTTCAATGTCTGAACAGACAAACCAGTGGTTGATGTCATGAGCAAACCGACTCTGTCAGGGAAGGGTAGCACCAGTCAAGTCACAGAATACACTGAAGCACTGAGAGTGAGTGAATAAGTGAGTGAGTGAGTGAGTGAGTAAGGTTTAATGCTGCTTCCAGTCATATCATGTCGTGTCAGCTTGATGTAGGAGGAAAGTGGGATGTAGTGCAGTTGTTAAACATTTACCACTTTGCTGAAACCAGTGACCATTGATAAGGTGCTGGCAAACCTAGAAACAAGTTGGGAGATTAGGGGGATTAGAATCCATAATCATAGGTTCCAGGTGGAACCAAGGGATGCAACTCTGCACAACAATTGAGGCACCTGGTACAAGTGGGCCACCAGTCCCCCCCAGGTGATGAAGAGGGTCTTGTATGTGATGTCTGGAACTGGTTGCCAATATAAGTCCTGCAGTATCCCGAATAAGTTTAGTGCTAATGTTTAAGGTATGAGTGCTACTATCCTAACAACAGTTTGGATGTGTTATAATAACATGATAAGCTCTATAGGGGCATCATTCCACAGAACATTGGAAGAGTCAGCTATATGGCGGCTGTCTGTAAATAATTGAGTCTCGACCAGACAATCCAGTGATCAACATAATGAGCATTAATCTATGCAATTCGGATATGATGATATGTGTCAACCAAGTCAGGGAGCCTGACCACCCGATCCCGTTAGTCGCCTCTTACGACAAGCATGGGTTACAGAAGACGAACTCTAACCAAGAACAAAACTGCAGCACCTACAGCATCTATGACACTTTGTGACATGAGTGGAGGTGCCCTGAGTGCAGCACCTGGGGGGGACAGACCAGGGATCTCCATGAGAGGGATTTGAACCTACACTCATGGGATTCAAATCAGCAACCATGATTTGTGTCACCCCAGATTACTGTCACTGCTGTGGTCATGTTTATTTACCACTTTGGTTAAACCATGGTAATGGTAAATAATCCTGGATCCAAACCCATGACCAGCTGATCCTGGCATGGATAAGGGATGTAACTCTGCACAGTGAGGTGGTGCACCTTACACCACAGAGCAAAGTCAAGGGTCAGTCCATGAAGTCTATTTTATCTGGACGAAGTTTTAATTATATTTTTGTATATATTGGTTTTCTTTCAATTGTTTTACACAAATGCAATGTAATGCCAGGAGTTGTTGATATACTGGGGGGAGGAAAAAAATAAGGGATCACAAGTGTTCCTTTATTTGTTTTCAGGTTTCTTCACAAGCTATGCCATACAAGCTATGTGATACAAGCTATGCGATACAAGCTATGCGATACAATGCTTGTGAAGAAACCTGAAAAAAAAATAAAGGAACACTTGTGCTTTCATGTGATCCCTTATTTTTTTCCCTCAGTATATACTATCACAGGTCGCTTAACATGTGATAGTGAGTAAGTTTGGATTAATCCCTCTGTGGACAGGATTTTAGTTACATCACAGTGTTATCGTCAGTTGATGTGGAAGGAAATCTTGACCACAATGGTAATAAACACCTGTTTCTTGCACCCATTGAGCAAAGCTATGCTAACAAAGCAAGAACCATAATCAAGGAGATTCAAACCCTGATTATAGGTAACCGACATGGACAACAGGGCCACCTTGCTCGTTTATCATGAGATAATTAATCAATACAGTTTTGCTGAAATAGGTCAGCACTGCTAGCAGATCAGGTAGGTCAGGTCGCCACCAGTCACTTGGATAATCACTACACACACACTTGTATTGTTTATATGTTCTGGAGGAGTTGCCCATTCAGACTGCAGAACATTACAGGTCACTCCTCAAAATACTTTAAATAACACCCGAGTCTCTCATATTGCTATCATTGATTTGACATGCTATGGTGGATCAACTATAGTCCTGGTGTTCTTTAGCTTGTTTCCAGTAGTAGACATTTAGTTAAATATGAGATGGGGAACAGATCAATCAAATTCATATGTCTCGTAAAAAATATGTCATAATGTTTTTTTCAATAAGCAATTTGTTTGCCTGTATATTTATACATATTTATATATTCATACTTGACAACATACAAATGCCATTTAAAGCGAGGTTAGGCTTGGAAAGTTGGCACTTTCAACAAGTTTGATTCATGTTGTCAAGAGTGACTTCAAGTCAACTGATTTTCATGTCTAAATTAATTTTGTAATTATTGAAGATCCTAAATACACGAGATCCCATTTCAAGCACAACATTAATTATAACATGAAGTCATAGACAAAAAAATGTACACAGGACCTTGGATCATATACGGACACACAGCGAAAAATATAATTCCATATGTGCCTATATTTGGCAATATGGTGACAATACTCAAAGTAAATTCTTTTGTGTATTTAGTCTTGGGATAACCAAACAAATCAATATTTTTGTATTGAGTCAAATCAGATTTCATGAGTTTTGAGATATTCTTGAACACAAAACAAATCTTTTCTGATTTCAGTTAAAGTTGACACATTTTCACAGCATCTAATTATAGTCTCCATATAATAGAAGAATACAGTATTTCATGTAATTCACAGATGTCAAATTAGTGTACAAAGTTTCTAAAGATTTATTTCACAATCACATATTGCGAATAAAGTGAGTCTGGGATCAAACTCACTGCCAACTGGTCAGCACAGTTAAGGGACATAACTCTGTACAAAGCGATGTGGTTGCTTCAGATACTGGGTCATCAGTTCCCCAACATGAGTAGACTCATTAAGAAAGGTCATTAAGAAGTAAGTGGTATCCGGCTGAGTCAGTCACTAATACCATCTGTCTGAACCCAGGCAACCTGACAGTTGGCAGAGAAGAATAAATAATTAAAAAGCATTCCACCTGTGATGTACCTGACACAGTGATGTGTTGCTAGTGGTAGTGTAGGGAGGTGTACTGAGATAATTAATTGTTTAAACTACTTGCTTTGAATAGTATTTCTGTAATATCGTTTAGATAATGAGTGATGGAAAGACTATTTTTAGCAGGTTGTATACCCTTACCACTTTGAGATTTGAACTCAAGACCAACAGATATTTTAAGGAACATCTTCTCAGCTCTGTGCCGCACCAACTGGGACCCCCATGATCCCTGTGCCTTCAATAATTACCTATTAGGTCATAATATATTAATTGTTAGGCTCTCATCCTTGCTGACCTCCCTACCAAACACCCTGCCTCACATGATGTTAATGCTCCCCAGCACCTACAGGTAAAAAGAATTGCTGCCGTCTTTCTCTCATGGTGAAATGCATCATTCTACCGTTCATACTTTATGTAAATCACACCAGTTGATGGATAATACACACAAATACCAAGAACAGTTTTTTATCAAATAATAAATATAAACATTATATTTTGCCTTCCACTTCACAATCTCATAAGAATTTGCATTCAAATGCATGTATATCCATTGGTTGCTTGTATCCCCAAACATTATGTATACCATATTGATGGACAAGATGTACCGCATGACATTAGTCTAGAAAAGTGAGAATATATTTAATGCCTCACTGTACATCAAAGCCAGAACATAAATTTGTGTGTCAACAGTTTTCTTCAGCTCCATGTCACCAGATGTGGATACTTAAAACTTATACACTGTATAACCATAACTGCAGGAGTAATTCCCAGGGAGCTGAGAATGAAAATCAGGGTGGTAATACCAAACAGCACCAGGAACTTCCTTCCATTGAAGTGGATTTGTTTATGTTAATGTTGTTGTTGTTAAAAAGATCTACTGACTCGTATTATCAAAATATTAATAAGAACGGAAATATTTGAGAGAATTTATGTCAACCAAAGGGAACATCCTTCATAACAAAAGTGTACTTGTTAGCCAAATCACAAATAACATGTATAATTAATTTCTGGAAATAGTCATTAATCGTTTGATAACTACATGTAGTTGTTCACAAAAATTATTTATCCCCTTTTATTATTGATGGACATTTGTTAATAAAAAAGTATAATCAGAACTTTTAATCTTCACATAACAAGTGGGGGCCTACAATCATTACTGGCAATGGCGTTTGACGTCTGAGTTAGTCCCATGTGGGATTATATACCTGGGTATAATAACGGTCTGAATAGGCCCCTTGACATGTGATAAGCTTAGATTATACATGTACGTAATGCCACAGAGTTGGGCGAGATTGGCCTGTATTATGTTCATTATACAATAAGTAATTTCATATTGCTCTCATTGATTTCTTTTCATACTGGAATGGTGTTTATGATTTCAGCTCAGAACAATTCAGCCGTCCATTGTCTCCATGGATTATTGGACTGAAATTGATTATACTTCAATATAACAAAGTAGTTTTGTTGTAATCCCATATATTTTCCCACACCTTATACTGTCATAAGCTTGAGGTGGAGAGCCTTGTCATGAACAGACATTCTTAAGATATTAATCAAAACATTGTTTCTGATTGTTTTACATATTCCACCAATCCAATAAAGTTAAACTTTTTTATAGATACAATATTTTTAATTTTGCTGAAAAACAAACTAACATGTCCACTACAAATAGCAGTCAAAAGATGGAGACAAGGTTAACTTTCCCAACAGAGGAGATCACATACAGATAACCTGCTGAATGAGAAAGTATACTTTCCCACCAACCAAACCAAATTTGTCAAAGAAACATTTGCAAAAAAAGAAATAACCTAATATGGCCTTACATGTCACATTAAATTTGGATGGCAAGACTATCTCTTACATAAGGCTCTGACGGATTTTCAGTATTTCTCATATCACATACCATCATTAATTGTTTAAATGTGAAAAGAAACATGATATTGTAAAATGAATCATCAACAGTATCAAAACAAATGAA